TCTCTCTCTCTCTCTCTCTCTCTCTCTCTCTCTCTCTCTCTCTCTCTTCTCTTCCGTCACTTTAATTACACACAGCAACAACAACAACAACAAGAAGAGAAGAAAAAACCATTACCGGCTCGACGGTAATTTCATTAATGAAAACGAAATTTTCGCAGCGAAATCAATTTGTGATGATGTTTATTTTTGTTTTTGTTTTTTTTCTTCTCTTTTACCCTTGGCTCACGGTATGTTTGTTCTCATTTCAGGCGATTAAATTATCGGAAGAACCAAAACGTCGCGAATGGCCGTTCTTCAATTTGATGGACATACACTTTTGTGATCAAGTGAACGATCCAACGCTTCGTTTATTTTCGTCGACAAAAACGTTGGGCGCCGATTCATTGGACGAGAGCATCACATTGAAATTTGAAGATGACCCCGTTATGGCGGCCGCCATTTCAGCCGCAACCGGTCACAATTTTATGGACATTTCCGATATTGTGCGCGAAGATAGAGAATCGGACAAGGCTAGCGAACGCGATTACGAAGATATGCATCCAGAAGTTCAAATGAATAACAGCAATTATAATAATGGTGGCGAACGTCGCACCTCACCGCCACATCAAACACATGCTATCAACAAATCGATGAACAGCTCCAACAGCGTATCAACCGGCAATGGTATACGTGTCAGCACACCGATTGGATTGCAACAACAAATGGATTATGATGATCATGATGATGTTAAACCACCAATGGCACACACACCCGTCTACATGCCACAGCATCATAATATCGATCAAGTAGGGGTTGCTAATCAATAGATTTGCTAAACTCAGGGACGAATTCTAATTTCCTTTTTCTCGTTCTCTCGTTCTCTTTTCCTTTTCTTTTTTGCTCTGCTCAGTATCTTCTATCCTGGAACAATTTCCACGGAAACATGTGCAAAGGATTCCATAATTTGCAAAAAGATGAGAAAATGGTCGATGTCACCATTGCAGCTGGTGGCAAAATTTTCAAAGCTCACAAATTGGTGAGTTTAACATTTTGAAATGAGCGTAATTGAAAGTGATCTTAACGCAGGGATTGTTTCTTTTTGTGTGTTTGGATGCAGGTTTTATCAGTGTGCAGTCCATATTTCCAGAAGATTTTCTTGGATCATCCGTCATCGCATCCGATTTTGTTCATGACCGATGTGAACAGCAACCATATGGCCGGCCTATTGGATTTCATGTACAGTGGCCAAGTGAATGTTAAATATGAAGATCTGCCGAAATTCTTGAAAGTTGCCGAAATTATGCAAATCAAAGGATTACACACAGAGGTAAGTCTCTTTCTCTCTTTTTTAACAGATGAAGTCAACTCGTCTTACCTCGAATATATCCAATTTTTTTCTTTCGCAAATTTTAATGACAAAGGATTTTAAATGAATGAAACATTTTTTGTTTTTCCATGATGCAAACCAATTTATATTTATTCCGACTTTTTTTCCAATTATTCAAAAATTCAGAGCACAAACGAAGCCGACGACAGCAAATATGGTCGAAATACGATTAAAGAGCCCGTAAATTATAACAACAAACAACAGAGTGTAAACAATAATAACAACAGCTCCAGTAACAATTTGAATATACCAAGCCCGAATCAGAATCGTTCCACATTCCGCGAGCATATTCGAGCCAAAAATCCATACCAGGATTTGATCAACAACAACAATAATAACAACAACACAAGTACTAACAACAATTTAACGAACAACAATTCGAGCTTAAACAACAACAACAACAACAACAACAACAATAACAATAACAACTCGAACAGTACCAATCAGAATTTGTCGCCGAAGTACGCCATCCAGCAGACAAATAGCAGCAGCAAAATTTTGGACAATCAAAAGTATCACAAATACTTTTCAAAGCGAAAAATGATGGCTCAGTACGAATTGGAAATGCGTAATGAGAAAAAGAATAAATTGTCGTTGCCAACACCACCAGCGGCTCATCAACCACAAGACGAACCGGTTGCCCTGTATAATAAGAGCCATCTGCCACCACCACAAACCGAACCAGAAGAGCTAACGGTTAACGAAACAAACAACAACTCAAGTACCACGGCCAACAATAACACCATCAACAGCAGCACAAACAACAACAACAACAACAGCAGCAGTAACAATAATAACAGCATCAGTTCGTCCGATGTGCAAAACATCAAAGTTGAACCGGATTTGATGCAACGCGGCAGCAGCGGTGTTATTGCAACGGTGGCAACGGCAACGGTCAACGATGACGATGACGAGGATTCATCAAATTCGGAGTACTTTTTGGCCGATTTACGTAAACGGAAACATTCCACATCGGGAATCGAACAGACATTGGCTCTAACCACAAAGAAAGAGGCTAGCCAAGCATGCAGTTGAATTCGATCGCCACATAACGATTGGCCCATTTCACAAATTCTAAATGAACAACAATTGACAATAATCAAAAGCAATCTGATTTTTTAAATAGATTCGGTAAGATAAGGGTTTATTTATAATGTACTAGCTGAACGTTCTGGCTGCTTCCGAACAATCTGAATGCAACACGGAAAATTGAAATTAAGTTAAGACACGATTCTTTTCTTCTTTTTTTTAAAATATTAGGTTAATGATAAATTTTCTTCTTTTTTCCCATGAACTTTTTTTGTTTTATTACTCGTTGAATATATCTCAGCCTTTCCAAGGAAATGAACAAGAGTTTTTGACCTTTAGATGTAATTAGTTTATTCAAAAATTTTCCCCAATTTTCTGTTAATTTTTTTTTTTTTTTTGAATATTTTCTTCTTCTTTCTGGTGTGGTACCGAACATTGTAAAATGAAATCTAGGGCATAAGAAACATATTGTAAGTGTTTTTTCCCGTACGAAAGCAACCATCGATTTATAAGATAACATTTTTGAGGGGCTCAAATACAGAATCATGGATTCGTATTTCGTGAGCTTATAGATTAGGTTTAGGCTATTTAAATGAAAAAAAAAAGAACAACGAGAAACATTTCCATTCCATTTATTGGAATCAACTCGATCAAATCTTCCTCTTTTAAATAATATCGTTTTTTTTTTATAATGATAGAAAGTTTATCGATTTCCCGATCTATACATATTTACATAAATATATTGACGACACTCTCAACAACATTTAACACATATTTCTTCCGATTAAAGCATAAGTCTTCACTCATTTGCAATCACTGTATCGACGACCGATCAGATTTGCAACCTAAGTGTACTTAATTATATTTTAAGGTAGAAAAATGTGCCCAACAAAAAGACACAACAAAAATTTAATCGTTATTTTTATGTGAAGAAAAGACACCATCCAATTAATTCCTCACTCCAAATTTGAAAACCGTTTATTTTTCTCTCGTAGACCTTTAAGGAATCGTAGCCTTAACACGCATTTCATTCTTTCAAATTTCTTTTAACATTATCTCTACAAATTCTATTTGCTATCGCTTTTTTCTTTCTTTTTATTAAAAATTCTTCGCACCTTTTTTAACCATTAAGCAAACTTCTAAATCCAATTCAATTGTAAATCAATAATAGCGAGAATTGTATTTAAGAAACAATGATGATGAGTTTTTTTTTTAAAGAATAAAATTTAAATTATTTTTGTTATTTCTTTTTTTTTGTATTTGCTACCTCAGTTGTTTATTTGTCTCTTCTGATTGCGTTCGGTCGGGCATCTAAAAATCGAACGCTCGAACAAAATGATTATTTAACACGTTAATGTTTAAGCATGAAATGAAATTCCACTCTATGAAACAATCACATATTTTGCAAATAATTGTTTTACGGCAGCATTTGTTCTGCTCAGTTTATTATTATTATACTTTGTTTCGTCTGACAAACAAATGTTGGATAAAATATTAATTGGTTCGTGAGTTAAGAAATAACAAAATCCATTTTAGCATAAGCTCTTGCTAGTTTTAAGTGAAAAACTATTTGTTTGTTTATTTTCTTTGGCTTTTTTTCTCTTGTTGAACTTCTTTTGTTTTCTTCTTACATTTTTTTGGCATATTTTTTAGTAACCCATTTATCTACATCTCCATAGGCTTAAATTTTAGATAATAGTATGATTTCAACACACAAAAAAATTGTTTTTATCCTTACCTTCCTCTATTCACTATTTCTCTTTTTTTCCGGACTAAGAAATATGGAACAAATTGCAAAATGGATTTAACATCAAGCATAATTTTTGCAGAACAATTATGTCGTCTCTTTATTTCGTCTCTTTTTTTCATTTTTTTTTTTTGCTTCAATTTAATTTACATTTGCTTATTTATGATGTTAATAAAAAAAATGCTAGAATTTAACACAATGTAATCGGTTTGTAATATAAAGAGCATTCAAAATAAAATTGAAATATTGAAAATGTTTAATTGTAATAAAAAAAATTGCGTGTTTTTCTTCGACGTTTTCGATAGATTGGCTAAACGAAGATGAATTTGATTGAATCTTCTTTATTGACTTGCATTCGGTCAAGAAAAAATCACGTCACCAAGTGGACAATCTAAATTGACATCCGCTAGCAATGGAAGCCCTTTTGCAAGTTTCAGTTTAATTTCTTGGATCATTACAGACGACAAGGGGAACATGCGAAATGCATGTAGTTTGGTTATTGTGGGATGTTTCATGATAAATTCCATGATATCGTTCTGTTTGAATGCATCATCAACGAATTGAAGCGACAATTCCTCAAGTTGATCGAATGATAGCGGTATTTTTTTCAATTGAAAACAATCAATATTCAATTTCTTAACACTTTTTAAATGTATCGTACCGCTGTCAAGATTATCGACAAAAAAACTAATATCAAGACTTTCAATTAGCTGTAGATGCTTGCTTACTTCCTTAAGGAACTTTGAATCCCATCCTAATCCAGTGTTGAGACTTCGTAATTGTGGATTTAGCATCAACATTTCCGCCACATGCTTCTTTTCTATGTTGCCTCTTACGGTCTCCGATTTAAAAATAGAAGGACCCTTGATGTCAATACGCAAATATTCCAAATTGGTAAAATGCTTGGCTACGCATTTGCCATCAATCTTTCTTTTTACGATACCTTCGGAAATGTATAATTTTTTCATACTTGGGAAGCATTCATTGAAATCCGCTAATTTGCCTATAATATTGCAATCAACGAATTCTACCGCTTCAACTTTCGAGAATGGCTTTTTCATTTTCATCATTGCCTCTTTCGGTGCACGTGTAATTGTTAGTTCAGTTACATATTCAGCACAATATTTATTGACAATGCGGTCAAACTGAGCACGATGTTTTAATTCCGATACAGAATCGGAATATTCAATTTTCAGCTTTGTGATTGACGGTGCAAAACAATCCAAAAATTTGTTGCATGTGCCCATATCAACGATCGATATTTCTTTTTTGGCTTCATCAATTCTGATTGTTCTATTCCGAAGCGGGCAGATTTTTATCAGCAACACAGCATAGGATGCAAATTGTCGAGTATAGATCGTATTCACCACTTTTCTAATCTCTTCGGTTTCCGTGTACTTTGGTCTACGAATGATCTTTTCCAGGGTTAATGTCCTCTTTTTTTCGCCGCTTGATTTCTCCGATGCGTTGGTGTCGGCTGACATGATCAACACAATATGGTCCAAATATTTATAAGTTACGTGATTTTTCTCGTATTTTGTCGTAAAAATTCGTAGTTCTGTCAATACCTTTAAACTTAGCAGGTTTGAACACAGGTCGCCAATCTAGAACCGATCATTCAAAATTTAACTTGATTTTTCCATTTATTAAAATATTTTATTTTGTTATTTCCAAATAAAATTTATACATGACTGTTTATCTTCCTAAAATAAATTTAGTGCGGAAAATTTTCGATTGATTATGCAAAATAGCGTCGCAAAATGATCATCAACACGATCGTAAACATGCGGAATAATTGAGTATGCTATCACACATAGCCAACAATGTCAGCTGTATTTAAGAAATGTCATTTTGATTGCTAGTTGTCATTTCATATGAATGGCTGCAATTGTGCATAGTGCAACACTAATTTTAAATTTCTAACTGTAAAATATTTGCTTACCTATTTCAGAGTTATTTTTTTAATTTTTTTTTTAATAAGTAAAGAGAAATTTTAGAATTTATCACAATTTTATTCATTGAAACCAGAACATGTACGTTGATATTTAGGCCTACACACATGTAATTTTATTGTCAACGCTGATTCATCAAGTTAAATTTGATGTCAAAATGCATGCATTTTTACCGAAGATTTTAGGCCAAATCGTCTGTTTGTTCCAATGTTCGTTCTAATGTCACATCCAAAAAGGTTGACCCGTTCTCTGATCCTCTCCATTCAGTGCTTAAGCAGTTTCTCAAAGCATTCAATTGTTCAGCATCTCGCATTTTAAACTGAATCTTTCTTAGAGATTTACATTCAACCAAAAATTCGACCATTTCGTCAACTGAAAAGACGGTTTCATTGAAATTGGCATCTGTTAGTAATGGCAGTCCCTTTGATAGTTTGACTTTAGTTTCCTTGTTCATTAGAAGATATGAATAATTTATTTTCGGTGCTATATTCAATGTGCTTATTGTTGAATGTTTAATTATAAAATCAATAATGCCACCCTGAACAGCGGGCTTGATGGAGAAATATTCAATTGAAAACTCTTCTAGTTGATCAAAGGATAACGCAATTTTAGTATTATCGAAAAATCCATTGATTTGCAAAACTTTCACACTTTTGAAATGAATCGTATCACCACCATCGAGGTTGTCATCCAAACAATGAATATGCAGATTCTGAATGGATTGCAAACACTGGCTTACATCGCGAAGAAATTTTGTGTTCCAAAAAGAAATGCTCAAACTTCGTAACTGTGGATTCAATTGGAGAGCTTCGGCAACATGTTTCTTATCGAAGAAATCCCTTTCCACAAAATGAGATGCACTGCTTAGAAATGATCCAATCGGTTTGATGCATAATTCCAAATGGTTTAAATTAGGAAAATGTACTGCCACACATTTGCTATTCAACGTTATGCTATCACTTCTCAGGCTTAGATTTGTCATATTTGGAAAAAAGTAATTGAAATCGGTCAATTTTCCAGTCAAAAAGCAGCGAATAAATGTAACGGTTTCAACTTTTGCGAACGGCCTTGTGATGTTCATCATTGCTTCTTTTGGAGCATGTGTAAATGTAAGTTCAGTTACATATTCAGCGCAGTATTTATTCACAATCAAGTCAAATTGATGGGAATATTCCAAACTTGGCTCCGAAAAAGCATACTCAATTTTTAGTTTAGTGATTGAAGGTGCAAAGCAATTCAAAAACCGTGAGCATGTCCCCATGTCAGTAATTGAAATTTCCTTCTGATTTCTATCGATTCTGATTGAATTACCGCGAAACGGTCGAACATTTTTTAGTAATACCGAATAGGATGAGAATTGTTGGAAATAAATCTCATTAACAATTCTTCTGAGCTCGTTAGATTGGCTGATTTTCGGATCACAAATGACTTGTTCAAGACACATCAAATTGGCACTGTCTTGCATTGAATTTGTTTTCGTTGGCATGGTCATAGGATGAGAACTACAGGCGTGAAACTTTTTTCTAAATTCTTAACACTTTCGTAAATCACTTTTTTTTTATTTTGAGAATCGCTGGGCTAGATGACAAAAAAAGAAACAAAATTGAATAAATATCCAACCGTAATCCACAAATGATAATACCAAGAACTTTATTGAAATGACTTTATGGACGAAACGTACCTTAAACCTTACTCAACCATTCACTTGTATCAACTGTTTTCAAGTGACGTGTCCTTTGTATAAAAATATGATAAAATGAAAATTATCGATTTTATTTCAATTGTATCACAATGCGATTGTAATCATCGCACAAGAGCATGTCCATGTCTAATGTCGATTCATTATAGGGAACGCGTGGAATCATACCGTACACGTGGAAAAGGTCAAACACAATAATACCTACGTATCCAAAATGTCATTGCTGTCGTCACTCCTCCGTCATCGTCATTAAGGACTTTTCCATGCTAACGGTCAAGTTCAATAGCTGCGCACATTTGTATTAGTATTCCATTCATGAATGAATAATATTAGGCGTGATATTATATTAAAGGAATCCTGTATCCATTACACGTGTGTTTTCTTCGTAGTTTACCTATGAATTTGTATGATTGTTCGCTCGCGCTGTTATCGTTTCCAAAAATCAATCATTTCGCATACCACAAAATAACCGCATACAGTCGTATATTGACCGTACTTGACGGAATTTAAGGCATAAATCAAGGTATAAAGATTCACTCCGTAGGATTAGAACTATGTCCAACACACTGAAAAAAAAACATCCCAACAGCAATTGAAATGAAATTCCACAGTTCTCTTTGTTTGATAATAATTTATTCAATAACCAGTATATTTACATTGAACACTCGCTACCATTATCTTAACTCCGCAAAACTCATTTAAAAAAAAAAATCTCTAAAATTGATTTTTATGCATTGAAATTTTTCTATAAAATCTATTAATACCGAATTCTATTTCTGCCTAGGTTCAACATTTTATGTTGTATTTTAGTTATAAACAGCAAACGAGAATTGTATAAAACACGTCTACATATTCTTCTCTTGCATCTGCACTTGAATCAAGTTCAAATCGATTTGGAACCGCTCAAATATCTTTAATATCATATAATGTTCGTTGACGAATATTTTGAGAAAGTTTAAATTGGCTCGTTGAAATAGATCCGCACATAGCTGTATGTTGTTTATATACTCCGGTTGAATCAGATCCCAGATCGTGGATATTTTACAGCCATCGCTGGAAATAGAAACGATAAATGTGTGTGTTAAATTCACTGAGATAGGCTTTATTCAATCAATTTCTCTTACTTGTAGCCAAAGCAATCACGATGAGACACTATGATGTAGTCAATTTTGAGCTCAGCTAGTTGAACATAGACCGAGTTTGAGTCCTGTTTGCTCATCATTGAATAGACAATTTTCGATCGCTCCCTGGAAATGCCAATGCAAATGGAATTGGTAATGATTAAAGAAGATAAAGTAAACAAAACCAAATTCTCATCACTTGAATGAAAATTTCAAACTTACTGCATGGTTGGATGGTTGCTCAATGCGTTATTTGCAATGGGTCGTCCAGTTGAAAGTAGGACGAGTCCAATTACATCATCTGGTCCAGCGAATACCTCAGTGCGATCGGTGTTTGATTTAATCCACTTGAGCATGTCATGCAAATTGTTTTGTTCCAAATTATCCGTTGATTCAGCGCCTTCTTTGAGGTTATACTGTTCTCTAAAATTGTGAATACCACGATCAATCATGCAACTGCCAATTACAATAGCGTAAATCAGCCAGAGGCTATAATTTCGAGGTATCAACGCTTTCGGTGGGAATGTCGTTGCCATCAGACACAAGAATGGTGTCAAAACATATTTCACTTTAATTATTAAAACGGTCAGAATGAAAAAGGCTGCCGTTTGGGCCAAATTGTAAAAATACTCCGGCCGTTCGATAGTTAACAGTTTGCGCCAGTCATACACTTCCTCCTCCTCATCATCGCCACCACCATCATTGTTATTAGATGTGGAGTCGTCATTTCCGACCGTATCTCCGTTCGGTTGTTCATTAGTGTCGTTTTGTGATTCGGTGTCTTTTTTATCGTTATATGAATCCTCTGGCGGATGGTTTATCTCGATATCATCTACTGGGCAACCTTCAGTCGATTCACTGATTTCACTCTTGAACCGTCGCACTTCATTCAAGAATGCATCACGTTCAATTTGTGGCCGCTCTCTGCTTTCTTCCTCAAGCATTCTCTTTCGTTCCATTTTATACCGTTCGTAATCATACTTGCACACCTTCAACAGATCCATGCACTCTTGTAGTTTGGAATTCTTTTCGATTTTTGCCAAATCGGCCATCGACAATTTGTTCTCTTCCAAATAATCTTCAAGTAAATAGTTTTTGGCACGTTGTATTCGATCATCAGAACATTCGTCCAAGTCACGTTGCCGTTTCAACCAATTCACCACCCATGTCAACATGAACACGATCAATACTTTGCTTACGAATAAGCAGTTGTACGCATTCAGCGTGGCGAAATCGATGAATTTATAGTCTTTGCGACACATCGTCAGAAGGGATGTGAATGAAGGCTCTTTGAGATAGAGTTTGGTTAGCAACACATCCATGTATTGTGAATAGAAATTCCGTTCGGATACTAGTTCAAGAATCGTTGTGAATGCCATCACCAGCAAAAATAGTCGCAATATAACTCGCTCAATTGTCCGCAGGCGCTGCTGTTTCGTTGGATACTTTTGAACGATGTACAGTAGTAATGTGATTAGAGCCGAACAATCAAAGTTCATTGGCTTTTGATGAAACTCAACCCAACCGTATTTCACTATGTTGTTTGCAATTAGACGAGCCATTATATGCGACAAAATGAAATTCTGCAGAAATATGTGACGACGCTTGATTAATCGCATTTTTACCATCAACAAAATAATGACAATCTGAGTGGTAAATATGTAGGTGGAAAAGTCCCATGCCAAAATGGCAAACGCAGTGAAAAATCCCAATTTAAAATGATTCGATCGATCATCTTCTTCGGGCCGTTCCGTTTGGTTGGCATCATCTTTTTGCTTGTCGACTTTTGTGTAGTACCGATTGTGCTGCTCGATCCAAACAGTGAGGAAATAGATCTGGCTTATGATAAATGGAATGGCGAAATTCTCTCGAGCCGCTGGGTTTGTGTGGATTCGAGTTGCGTCATTATGAATACAAAAGTAGTATAACGCCGCACAGAGACCAGCAAATACGTTGCGACTGTTTTGTTTTTTTTGTTTTTTGGTAGAAAAATGGATTGAGTTAGTTCTTTTTACTTCTTTTTCTTGCAAAATAATAGCTTCAGAGTGTTTTTTTACCTCAGATAAGTCGCAAATAAATAAATTGTAAACAGTGTTAGCCCGCCCAAATAAAATGTCACTTCAAGATAGAAGAATATTGGTAGGCCCGGTCCATCGCACACCACGTTCGTGTGTTGATCGTAATAATAATACAAATTGTGCCGATAAAAAATGTCATCAGTATCGTCGACATCGATGCGACCGTTATCCAGTGAGTGCGTTTCACTCGATGCAACTCGTTCCCAACACGACACCGTCGGAATGTTATAGTAAATGGTTAACTGTATAAATTGTTTATATAAATATCTGCGGATAAAGAGAATTGGAATCACAGGAACATTCTCGTTTATTCATAACATTTGCGGCGGGAATAAATTAGTTGATGGAAAATTCATTGTAAAAATGCGAATATTTCTTACGCAATCACAATTTCAGGTAGTATTGAGTAGCGTTCAATGCTATTCACTGTGTGTAAATGTTCCGTATAGTTGTTTCGTAGGATTTGAGCGAATCCAGTGCGAAAGTCCTTCGCTTCTGCCAACGTATGGTAGATGTACATATAAATTGCATCCTCGTTGCGAAAATACAGCTGTCGCTCGAGCCGATTCTTTCGACTGAAGTTTGTCTTTGTTTCAAAGACAGAACTGGTGTGTAGAACTTGAATGAGTATCAAACCCAAACCTAAAACAAATGGAAAAATTCACAGCATGAGACACATTGAAATTTTTTTCAGAGCAATTCATTTCCCGTTGCGTTCAATAATTGTGTAGGTGTTGAATGGTACGCACCTATTAGTGCATGTGCAGTGGATAGCATCAGTCTACTTTTCATTGTATTTTGTTCACCCATGGCAGTTTTTTTCGTTCTTTCTCTTCAAATTTTGATGTAGAAACAAGAAGATTTTATGGCTTTTCGACAGCCTCATCACAAGTGTCTCAAACGAATTTGTTCGATTTTGTTCATGTTATCCCGAATTTGCTAAGCTGTCATCCATGAAAACAAATTATGTCAACAACAGATGCACTCTCAACAAAATTGCACTATTTTGTACTATTTCGATGTTTTAACACCATCTTCTCTCACTAAATTAAATTTCAGCTTCTTTTTAAAATTTAACAATTAAAATTCACTAAAAATGTTTGCAACCCAATTGTAAATCGAAAATCCAATAAAACACCTTTTCCAAAGGAAAATGAGTGAAGTGTCCTTCACAATATGAACTGCAATAAAAAAAAAAATCACTGCGAAAGGTTGAGGTTATGGCAACGAAAGTGTCAAAATATTATCATTGTTGATAGTAAACGTCAAAGTCAAAGCACACATTCATACACAGAGGCCTCGATTGCAAGCAAAAACTGACAACGCGTATTAAATTAGTGACGATATTAGTAAAGAGTTGATGTCGTACAAACGAACACCGAACGTGGAACAAATTGCGATTTAATTGCGGCTTCGCGGAGAATTCTAACTCAGTCGAGTAACTAACGTGTTGGCAGTGAAAACGATTTGCCAAAGATCGATAAAAATGATTTTTAGAAATAGCATCGCAAGCACATACTTTGCACATAAAAATTAATGACCTCATTTTGCCGAATCGAAATCATTTTTTTTTTTAAACTTTGAATCGCACAAAAAAGTCTGAATCGAAAGAAAAGAAAATTGATTGAAAAAAATTTATAAGATATTTAAAGGTTGAAATAAAAAAAAAAATGGAAATTTCATCGAAAAACGCTTTGTTGCTGGGCTCATTTTGCTTGACGTTCTTTTTGAGCGTATGCAATGCTCAGCTGCTCGAGGGAATTTATTGTGGCCGTGAAAATTGTTACGATGTTTTGAATGTAACGCGCGATTCAACTGGAAGTGAAGTTCGACGAATGTATCGACGCTTGGCGAAAAAGACGCATCCCGATTTGTTCCGCGATGAAGAGCAGAAGAAAGAAGCCGAAGAGAAATTCAAATTACTCGGTATGTACTTGTGACAATGTTTTTTTGTTTAATGGTGACGTTGACATTATACAATTAGTATATTTGGGTTTTGAAAATGTGCTGACACAATTACTTTGAATGATTGAAATTTAGCAATGGCTGTGGAATCTGGTTGAAACTGACATCAGAGCTCTTTTAACAGATTTTCCTTTTTTTTTTCAACATTGAAAATAAAAATTCCCATTTTCTCCGTTCTTTTATATCTCCAGCTAATGCTTACGAAATCCTGCGAGATGATGAGGCGCGCAAAGACTACGATTACATGTTGGACAATCCATCGGAATATTATTCGCATTACTATCGTTACTACCGAAGACGAATGGCACCAAAGGTAGACGTTCGTCTGGTGCTAATCGTCACAATCTCTGTGATATCCATCATTCAGTACTACAGTTTGTGGCAACGTTATGATTCGGCCATTAAATACTTTATGACGGTGCCAAAGTATCGAATCAAAGCGATGGAAATTGCGGCCGAGCAACAGCGACAAGAGGAGGTCAATGGTGTTAAAAACGGTAAACCAAAGTCTCGGAACAGAGTGTCCAAAGCCGAATTGAAGGAAGAACAGGAGCGAAAAATCCGGCAAATCATTGAGGAAAAAATGGATATCAAGGGTGCATATGCCAAACCGAAAATAAGTGATGTGCTTTGGGTGCAACTCATAATATTGCCTTACACTTTAACTAAATACGTTTATTGGTACAGCAGTTGGATCTGGCGATTCACAATAATGCGGCAGCCATATGGTGATGACGAAAAATTCTATCTCATTCGGAAGTACATGAAAGTCGGTCAATGGCAATTCGACGGTCTGGATGATCACGAAAAACAAAGCTATTTAGACATGGAGCTGTGGATTAAAGAGAACTTCGACGAATGGAAGGCCGAACAAGAGGAAGAAATGAAAGCCAAGTTGGCCGAAAGTGCCCGACACAAATCATATCGACGATACATGAAAAACCATGGTCCTGGCCGAATGACATTCGAAGACTAACAACCGTAGATTCACTTAAGTCATATTTAATTTAACGATGCAGCCCAAATGTAATTTATTGTACATTCTCGATATCATATCGATACAAAAAAAAAATAAGTGACTTGATACAAATAAAGTTATTTAATTTTATAAGAAAAAAAAGAGCAATATGTGTGTCAAATAAGTTTTCATTTTTCGGTCAGAAATTACAATCTTCTATACGAAGGGCTTGCGACGTCTGTTTAAAATACATTCAAATATTCCAAATATTTGAAATATTTTCAAATATGTCAAATATACGAAATATTAGGTTGAATTTTGTACTGCAATATTTAAAATAATTTCAAATATTTTCAAATATGTCAAATATTTCAAATAATTTTAAGCGTCGCAAGCCCTTCGCTTCTATAGGAACTGTTGAATGGGAATATAGAGAAAAAAGGTTAAAACAACTGTACAAACAAAGCGTCCATCGACTGATATTGTCACAGATATAGCACCCGTTGACCCAAAATACGTAAGTTAGGCATGTGTAAAATGAAACGGTGACCCAATAAGGTATATGTAAACAATGAAAATGTTTCATCCAATCAAATCAAGAGCATTTACCGGCTATGACAACTGAGCTCATTTCGATGACATCGAAACCAAACAATGGTCTTATTGAAAAAATTTGTTTGTCTCTCCGTCATTATTCCGTTATATATTCACTGAATGAATCAAACAGAGGCGACTTGGATTTGATTTTATGATTTATTAAATTATATTAAAATCATTTGGACTTATTTCCATGTTGTATCTCGCTCAATCTTCGGATTTTTGAGAGAAAAATTCGGTTCAATTAAAAAAAAATATTTGTTATATCAATTTGGAAAGAAATAGTTTTTAATTTGATCGATAGATAAATATATTGTCAATGTCTAGGAAAAAGTCAATATAAAATATTAATTTCAGTAGAAATTCGAAATTGTATGGAAATGAAGCTGCTTTTTTGCTGCCGAATAATCATTCAATCATAAATCGGTTTCTGCGTTAACTGCATATAAAAACACTAAATTTTTTGTTTATTTTTATTAGAATTATTAGAAATTGTTATCACGTTATCACTTTTGTTCTATACATTTCAAATTTAGTCGAATAGCTGTGTGTTTAGGTCCAGTTGATAATTTAAAAAAATTTCAATACATTATCTACAGACATGCTCAATTAGTAGTTCAAGAAGGGGAAACAATGTATTATTAGGTTGAATAGAGAGAGAGAGAGAGTGGAGTAAGAAAAACACTCATGAAGAAGTGGAGGAACTATTTTGGTTCGTTGATTCACAAGAATGAACAATTCAAACTTAATTTGAGGTTATCAAAAAAAAAGAAACAGAGAGAGAGATGATTGGCCCAGTTAGCCATTGCCACAGCATCGTGCGGATAATGAGCGCTGTTGATTGCTTGCATCGCCATCATGCTCATCTTCCTCGTCTGCAACAATGATGGTGTTGGGTCGTCGGAATGAATTTGATCGATTTAATGCATTCTCTTGGTTACGTTTTGCATCGTAAGCCTCTATCATCTGCAAGGGGAAATGCGGAAAAAATCGATTAATTTCAATAAATTGTACCAATTAAGGAAGAAAAACGGAAGAGTAAAAACAATTGAAACGGTTTAAGTGACGTATTTTAGGCGAATAATGCATACCATATTAGTTAAACCTAAAAACAAGTCTTCCACGCCAACATTATTTTTGGCTGAAGTCTCGAAATGCATAGCACCAACGCTTTGCGCATAACTGACAAATAGAAAGAAAACAACAATTATTAGTCATTTGCTGGAGGAAAAAAGACGAAATTCACTGCTCATAGTAACAGGCTTACCCTTCGGCCGTCTCAAATGGGACGGTGCGATCTTTATTAAGGTCAATTTTGTTGCCAACAATTGTCAGTACGATCTCAGAACCGAGCATTTTCTTCAGTTCTTTCACCCAGTTTTTCACTTTTTGAAAACTGTCTTCGTCAGTTCTGTGTGAAACGATAAGAAAATACAAAAGTTATTTACGGTTCAGATTGTGAAATTTCAAAAATGACTCATTCGTCTTTTTGTGATTCGGTTCAAGTGGCAGTGATTAACGTTTAAGTAAACGTATATGTGCGTTAAGTACAAAATTTCAAGAGTCTCACATATCGTAAACAAGGATAGCACCATTCGATGATCGATAGTAAATAGGCCCAAGCGCATGGAATCTGGAAATGAAAGTATTTTTTTTCAATTTTTTGTACGATAGAGCATGTGGTCGAATGTACAAGCTTACTTCTCTTGTCCCGCTGCAATGATTCAAAGAAAACCCAGAAGAAAGTGTTAGTTTTTCTTAAAATTTCAAGGAATGAATATAATTATAAGCTGTATGGTGTTACCTGTATCCCAAATGGATAATCTCACGGCTTTTCCATCGACGTTGATCTTTTTGTTGAGAAATGACGCCTAATAAAATGAAATAGATACGTTGGTAATAATTCGAAAGTACACGTTACACTTCATGTGCTCTAACTGCATTATTTTCACATCGCAGCCGTCATACGGCTTCGCGGTGATGAAAGAAACAATGACCGCCATCATCAATGAGTTAATTAAAATACAATTATACCTGCAGCGTTGTAATATGGCTGGGATTGAATGTGTCTTCAACGTATCGCAATACCAGCGACGTCTTTCCAACCGCCCCTACGAACAAATGTCAAGGATTTAGAGGTCAAACATAAAAAGCAAATAATTTATTCATGAACGATTGTAAATTTTAAATGTGGAAAAAAAACCGATATCTACCTTCGCCCAGCAGCACTACTTTGAAATTGTATGTGTTTCCATTCTTTTGAGCCATTGCAAAATTCAATCCGTTTCGTTCGCATCAAAATTGTACTTAAATTAAATGTTAGGGTTTTTTAATCACAGCTTTTAAATCTCCGTTTTTTTTTAAATTGAATTGGTTACGTTTTTTTTACGCATTTACAGATTGTTTATTGGTTCAACGCAAATCACTGTTTACACAATGGAATGAAAGTGAAAAAAAAGACACTCGCGCTACTACGATTCCGTGTTACAATCCATTTCAAGAGCAAACGAGACTGATTAACTTCGCTGGTTTTTCTATTTGGTTGGCTCATGCGAAAGATGGTGTTGATTTTCTTTACTTTTTTTTTCTTCTACTTATTCATTGTTATCAAATTACGCGAATGACAAAAAGTGAAAATATGATGTATCAAGTTGAAATGTCAACATCATATGAATGGCTCTCGATAGGGACATACATTTCTTGTCAAAACATACATAAATACATAGGAAGTATAGCGCTTTTTACCTGTCATTTTCAAATAGCGCGTTTTTGTGGGTTCGTTCTTATTTGACCAGATAAACGGTCTTTTTTTAGAGAAAGCAGCAGCAATGAAATAAAAATTTACTTGGGAAAAATGATTTTTTTAAAAATAAAAATACCCTGAGAGTAGATAGTTCACACACAACTGTTCTATTTTTTATTCTATTTCTTCCGTCAAAAACAATGAAAAATTCAGCATATCATTTACCTGTTTAGGTATGGATGAAAATCCACACATTTAAGTCAATGACACTTCAACCGTATCCAAAATTATGTTATCTCATGCAATTCAAAATAATTATTGCATTTGTTTTTAGTTTTACCGGAATTTATTTCGTTTTACCTGTCTTCTAGACTAACTTCTAGGTCTTGCTGTTGTAAGAATGAATTCAATGAATAAAACCGTGGCCTTTTTTTCATTATAATTTATTAGATAAAACATTTATTTGAAAAATCTGGTTTGATTTGTACACATTAAATGGTTGAATAATGCAAATTGTGGCTTCATCAAAGTAGAAAAAAAAAACTGTTCGTTTGACACACAATTAGCATTTGTCATCAAATAATTAACTTTCTGTTTCAAAATATACAATTCTAATGTTAACTGTGTGTCAGCGTCTTTGTCGTTCTTCTGGTTTGTTAGAATCGCCAAATTTCTCGAAATGAGCATTAATTAAGGTTACAATATTATCCCAGATGTTGAATATTTGCAAATCTACTGGTTACTGAGTACATATGAAGACTGTCAAACATTGCATTACAATCGATTGCGCAATTAAATGATATTGTCTCGTAATGCTTACGTTCATTTAATAAATGTATATAATGCCTCATATTGTACGTGAATGTCTTTTTTAGATTTCGACATAAAAATAACATGCATTTTCATATAAATAGTGCATCTTATCGTCTAAATTCACTTAAAATTCTAGCGAGAGAGAAAAAAAACGTATGCATTAAATTAGCATTTAGTACAAATCCAGTCAGTTCTATGCAAACAAAATGAACATTTGAAGGCAGTCGACGGATTCTAACTGTTTAGATTAATTGCATTCGCTTTAACCTACAGACAAAAAATATAAACTCATTTCAACTAACTAATAATTGGTTTTGCACAAAAAATGGAAAAATTGCGAATAAGAATTCGTATAGGTTTCCAGCCAAAAACAAATTTGGCCAATTTTCAATGGCTCACAATGTTTTTGCGAACGTCCAAATCATTTCGATTGTATTGCGTTTTGTGAGATGAAACACTGCACGGTGTTTCTCTCATACAATTGCACAATCGTCGAATATAAAGTGATAGAATAAAAGCTAACCATTCTTATGGCGTTTTTATGTGTTTTGCTGCACATTCGGATATGTTTTTCATTTCGGATATGAAAATCAGAGCCGAATTTTATTCGAAAATCGTAAACCGGTCCATCGTTCAAAGTAGACATAAAAAGAAATTCGATGATCATTTTTGCTGTTTTGTTTCTTTGCATGACAGACATGACAACAAATAAATGAAACAAAACACCAAAAATAAGCATCACAACCAAATATTCAAGAAAAAGAAAATAAATTAACTAAATAGCTAAACGGTTTAGAAAAAAATAGGTACGAGACGACAAAATAAAATGTGCATTAAACAAAATTGTGATGTATGTGTAGCAGAAGGAAGGAACATTTACAAGAGAAATGATGAGATTAAAATACGTGCGCTAGCATAAAAGAAAATGTTCCTAAACTGACCGCAGTTTCTATTGGTTTTCTGGAGGCCCATCAATTTGTCTAAAAAAAAAAAATCTCTCACGCAAATAAGATTAAACGTATACATATACACAAAAAAAATATATATATCAGGTACCGGTCAGTCTAAAAGCGTTTAAATAATTATGCTTCAAAATTTTGGTCAAATGCAATATTCGATGTCGAATTAATTTGTACACAAAAACCTTATAAGATTCCGAATACACGAAAAACCAAGAGAAAAACTGTGTAAAATATACTAAAGCAGAATAGAACAAAAAAATTGGCTGAATTTTGGTCAAATCGACGATGCTCGTATAAAATCCTTATTGCTTTCATTCCCAGACAGTGTTTGGCAATATGAAAAATTCGGTGTATTTTCCATGTTAAAAAAAAATTGCTCGAAAATATTCTTTCCATTTTCTCTATCTAACCATCTGCTCCACAATTCAAATTCATTCTTACTCTCTCATTTTGTTGCTTGAGCAAATTCTACCAATGCAAAACAATACCTTAAATTAATAAAAGATTTTTCTTCGCGTGCGATCATAACTATGAGATGCAAATATATAACAATCAATTCTTTTGTTTTGTTCAGTTTGCGGTGCCTCACCACCATGGAATACTGCTGATATTCATGTTCTATGACCTAAAGCTATTCTTTTTTTCTCAATATATAAATATGTCAATAAAATTGAAATGGAAACAAAAGTCTTTTTGCCATTGATAAAAGGGCGATGAAAGAGAGATTGCTTCTTCGTCATTATGATTGGAATCATGGTCTTAACTATTATTGGTAACTGTTAAGACGCTCGGAGTCACCACATACACGCCTTTTTTGCTCACATCATGTGCCGGTGGTAAGCATTTGTAGTTTGGCGCATTCGCTGGGAACTTCTGTGCAACCATTGCTTTCATATTTGCCTGCAAAACAGATGAAGAAGAAAAAAAAAAGTTTTAATTGTCAAAGACACTTTTGCACGGTTCTTAAGAGATCTCTTATCTCACACATGAGGAGCAAAATAGATTAAGTAATAAGATATTAAAATAAAACGCTAAGTGCCATTTACCTGTGTCGATTGAATGGCTGTCTGTGAGACTCCTGCCAAATTAGCAGCCAACAACAGGTTTTCGGGTTTTACGTGCAGCTTAACTCCATTGGACAGTATAACCGGACGTGTTGTTCCAATTTTAGCAATTTGATTCAATTGCGTGGTATCATGTAATGTTTCATCATACCCTGAATCGGATGAATTGTCGCTGTATTTATTAACGGCAATTGGTTCAGTTTTTGTTGTCATCACCGTCACCGCCGCCGTCGTATTGGTGATATTCTTGTTTTCATTGTGTTCATTGTTTTCACTTTGATACTTGGCTGCTGTTGTGCTACTGTCAGCATTTGTTGCATTGGCAATTTTGTTGGATGTGCAGAGTTTTACGAGATTCTTAACCGCGCTCAAATTCTTTTTTGGTGCTTTTTTCGTCACTTTTCCCGAATCGCTGCGCAGTTTGTGCAAATTGCTTGACACCCGTGTGTCGGTTGTGCTGTGTGCTTTTGGTTGTGGCATGATTTGGTTTGTTGTTGACGTTGGTTTAGAGTAATCGATCGGCGCCGATTGTTCCATTGATTCGACGATTGGTGCCGCTTCGATTAGGCTATGTCTTAGGAAATGCTGTTTCTTTGGAGGTAAAGATTTGATGGCCGTTGGCAATTTGATCAATTCCTCTTTCTTTTCACTCAGTATGAATGGCACCTTCTTGGCGTGAACTGAACACAATTTCACCGAATATTGGCTAGTCTCAACCAATATCGCTCCGAATTTTTTGCTCTCATAAAACAGGCCACAGCACGTTTTGCGCTGTTTCCATAAATTCGAGTCAAGTACATGCGATGCATGGAAAAGTGTTTGATTCAGATTTTTCGTTGGATTCTTTTGCTTGCGCTGGATTCGTTTAGCTGCAATCGCTTCACCAATAATTGAGCTCATATCTTCGTCACATTCAAGACGATCCGAGGCATCATCACTCATTCGATTCTCCTCGTTATCGCTGCTCGACGATGGACTGGTTGGTTGTGAATTCTCATCACATGATCTGGTTTGCATGGTCTTTTTCTTTTGGATCTTCTTGAAAATTTTACCAAATCGCTCCATTGCGTTGTTGCGAATGTTTTGAGCGTTGGAGTTTGATTGGCCGGCAAATTCGGTGGAGCCGTTTTGTAATTGCATTTGTTCTTCTTTGCGTTTCTTGAATTTTGTCATCGATTTTATTCCAGGCCCTATACGCGCATCGACAACCTGTTTTTTTTTTCAATACAAAGAGAAAAGACGGAAAAATGTTGTCGTCAATAAAAAAAATAGATAAAACAAACGAGAAATGCAAATAACAAGATAATAAACCACAACCGTTAAATCTATTTCAAACTTACGTGTGACCAATGACGTCGGTTGCCCAGTGGCAAGCGTTTAAAGCGCTTCACCAACAACACGCATGCATTACAAATCTCCCCTTGGCGCGGTTCAAGCAGCTGAAAGCAATCTTTGAAGTCATTCTCGTACTTTTTCGAGTCCGTAAAACGGGAACTACTCGATTTGGCCTTGCAAATACAACAGCCCTGCGTCGATCGATATACTTTCGGCTTATGAAACGAAAACATTGTTCACACTTTTCTCTTTCACTCTCACGAATATACAATTTTTATTCACAGATTTTGTTTTCTGTTGTTTTTGTTGCTGGATTTTCTTTTTAATTGTTTTTTTTTGTCAATTTTTTGTTCACTTTCGTTCACTTGTCAATGTCTGGACGTGTCACAAAACAATTATATCAACCAAATGACTGTATCGTAATCTATGTTGGGTGACGTTGAATTAAGATAGGAGCTGATCATAGTAGTTGATACGATGCGCTGGTTCATTGCCACTGTAATACCCATAAATGTAGAAGCGATCATGAATAACGTGCGGATAGTTTCGGGTCGACGATGCGGTCGACGGTGTCAAGGACAATGTGGTTGTGGTTGTTCGCAAAATATCGGTCAATAGAATTGAATCGCTGCCAAATATCGTAGGTAATGTGGACAAATGTTGAAGAAGTGCCGTCGTTGAGTAATTCGAGTTCCGTGGAAACACGTAATTTGACTGCAAGAAAAAAACAAAAGAAAGAGAAATAAACATTAGAAAAAGAGTTAAAATTAATGTTGGTATTATGGTTTCATCTGTGTGCCGAATACACAGTTGACCTTCATCTCAATTTGCATCGAACGGTCGACACCGTTTCAACGCTATCTCATTCATTATTTACTACTTTTTATTTTAATCACTTTGGCGTTGCTTTGCTGTTGTGTTGGTAAGGGGGCTTGAGATGGCAAGTGTAGCCAGCGCTTGTGTTTTATGGGAGTTTAATCACAAAGAAAATTGTATGGTTGTGACACCATGACCTCGACTAATGCCGACTATTCATTATTAACTATAAATGTATGAATTATTTGCCACTATTTTTGTTCTCTCCAAGCATTATCGGTTATTATACAAGCAATTTGCTACTTGAATTCCATACTAGTGTGTATGTTTCTGCGTAACCAACACACTTTCAAACCAAACATTTTTTTCAAACGAGTACAAGTTTTTCTCTCTTTCTGTCAATATTTACAAATAGGTACTCTATTGAAATGTAAGTAAGTGGCGCATAGGGGTATTGCAACTACCATAAAATATATGTATTTCATCAAGTTTATCAAGCTCTTTCCAAGTTTATGCATAGTGTTGAACTTTTGTTCAAGCTCTACCATCGAAATGTACAGTAAAATAATTTACGGGCACGACGTAAGATGGCGTTTTTTCTGGTCAAAAAAGTTGCAATATCCCTTTGAAGTGGCGTTTTGTATCTGCTGTTTGCTGTGAAAATTGTGTGCATTTAACAAAATTTCAATGTCATTCGAGTGTAATCAGCACACTGGTAAATATGAGCGATCAAAGGGTCTCACTATTTGGAATCAATTAGTACCTAATTTCATCTTATTTTCACACCAATCGTCCGTTTGCACGATTTTCATTTGACAGCACACAAATGGAAAAAAAACTACACGAAAATCACACAAGACCAGAAAATCACACGATCAACGGACTTTACATTCTATTTTCTACAACTCGGAAGTGGAATATAAATTGACGTAATTTTATCTCAATGTCAGCAAAATAACTTTAAATTAAATTGCAATGAAATTAAATTGCAATAAACAAGTTCAAATTGATTTAATAAATTTAGTGGCTGATTTTTGTTTTTACCTCAAACATGGCAAGCGCAAGGAAAGTACACCAGAAATATAAACACAATCCAATGAGTGCCAACAATAAGATCCACATTTTATCCATTTGCCAATTCGGATTCAAATGAAATAAAACTGCAATACACGCACACACATACACACTTTCGATTGCAGCCAGCACTTCACGATCAAAATGCAAACTATCGTTAAAATGACACGCTTTTCGAAAAGAAACGATACACTCGATTTGCCAGCTGAATGTTGATTAAGTTACTGGTTTGATCAGTCTAAATGTGACAGCTGACGCGAACGCGTACAAACACATGAATGCATTTAAATTGATCGAACACAACACAGTGTTGAACTAAAAGTGCATTGTAAAACTGTGAAATTGTCGACGCAAAACTGAAGTGCGCACGTACTCGCGCTATCATGTGATTGTGTTGTTGTGACGCTCACGGCTCAGACTCAACTCTCACACACATCACAATAACTGAATTTAATAACGCACTAGCAAAACTAATAATTCTTGTCAATCTCTGGCTAGCTGTGTGTTTCAATGCTATGACATATGTCTATCGGTTTACTAACGTTCCGCCAGTAATTCATCTAGTTTTGAGGGTCAGTTTTTCGAATGTGACGACCAAATTGTTATTTTTCCTTCTTTTTTTTCTGTTGATTCGAGAACTAAATTGGAGCGGATGCTTGGTTAACTTGGTTTATTCAACCACGAATTCAAAATATTTTCTTCACCACCACTAGTTCACTACCCTTGGGACAATTTTGACTAAAAAAACACCGTTTTTCTCTCATTTGCTATTAAAAGTGTTAAACTAAATTCAAAATGCTGCATTGAATGCTGATGCGTACGATCTGAAAGCTTTTCACATACTAAACACACTTCTCGAGAGATTCAACCGAAGAACAGAAATAAAATCCGGTTGTCAAACAATTTGTGTCGTCATACAACGGCGTACAGAGTAATAATCATTTTAAAAATATGAACATCTCCCGTTGGCAAAACTTTATTTTGCTATTCGCAAACCGCGTTCAGGTATTCGAGTTTTTTTTGCCGAGTCATGCATGAAACGTCATACACAAAACACTAAGTACAATTAGAGACGGTTCTATTGCTACCTATAACCTATGTGATATGGAATTTTTCGAAAACAAATGGGTTGTCTTCGTTTCAAAATGGCAACATCACCCGAAATTGGACCAAATCAGATTAAGTTTTATTGTCTGTTGTGATCTTCTTAGAATGTCTGAGAACATGTTGGTGTTGTGGTGCAGTTGCCATTTTTATGACTTCACAGACGACCGTCAACATTATAAAGTCGTTCACTTTTATCATATCGATCACACTTGCATTTCTCTCTATTGTTTTCATTTTTCATTTTCTACACCAACTTCTCAATAAAACGGCTTCGGCAATAACCTGTTTTATTTTAGTATGTATATAAATTTAGCGCTTTCAATTTGCTTTTTGCAATTTTATTGTGTTGTTCTCTCTTTTTCTTGGTCTCTCTCTTTTTGCCGGTCATTCGCAACGGGCCAGTGTGCGTACGTTGAACAGAAGGTTCTGTTGTTTGCATGGAATTTCATTTCGAACTGATTCGGATACGCTTCAAAACAAATAGCATCGACTTTGCGTGCGGTAATCAGTTGAGATGAGTGAAGATGTTCAATTAAATCCAATGGAATTCTTAGAGTTCAAGCAATTAAAATCGAATTATGAGCTACTTGAACGACAATTTTTTTTTTTGACTGAACCGTTTCTGCTGTCGAATCAAAAGAAAATGCGACTCATTGCTTCTAGTTGTGTAGAAGGCTTCTACACTTCTTTAACGAATAATTTGCATTTAAATTGAGAAATATACTAAAACAAATTGGAATTTCGAGCAAAAAAGAAATCATTTCAAAAATTGAGAATGCAAAATTTTGAAATTGTGTTGCGAAAACCCGTTCGACTTACATGGAATGACACTTGTTTGAAGAGTTTGAAGAAATCACTCACTGACAGATGAACAAACTGAATAGGTTTAAGGACCTTTTTTACGGAGAATAGGTCAAAACACTTCTGTCTGCGACAACGGATGAACTTTTAATAGAATTGAGTGTGACTGAGTCTTTTCGAGAATTGGATTTCGAAATGTTGTGCGTTTGTTACAATATCTTTTTCGGTTGAGTTTGTGCCATGCATTGCAGCCGCGGCAGAGGTGGTAGTGGTGGCGGAGGAACCAACAACAACGACGACGACGACGGCAACAACAACGTAAAATGGCTATTCCTTTGCACACATACGCCGAAACATGCGCGCAAGTGGTAGCCAAATTCGAATCTGTGCTGTTGCTACTTGCCGATGGAAAATGTGAACTCGGCGTGGTAGACACGCATCGGGTTCAATGAAATTTAAAGTGTGCTTTGTATGGCAAATTGTGGTAGCGACGCGACACACATATCGACCGAGCATCAATCGAAACGGAGATCAAGATGGAAAATTTCCATAAAAAAAGCAAACACAACAACAACGGCAGCCTCACCACCACCACCAAGCTTTACCTTCATTCATTCTGTCTCGGCAAGCGAGATGGAAAAAAAGGTTGATGCTGGCTAGACAGACGCTGTGATAAAGTGCGCCTTCGTAAGAAGAAAAATAAAACGAGCGAATAAACATACAACATAAATACATAATACGCTGTGTCTGTTCTAAGTGGATAGATTGAATTATTCACAATGATGTGAACAGGAGACACTAACAAAAAATATCAAGTCTGATATGAGTGTACGGTGGAGCCAATACAATTATTGAGGCAGGACGTCAGCTGAGAATTCAAATCAATGGCAAAGACCGAAAAATAGCAGCTGCCTGACGTGACTAAATACAATGTTGTTGTAATAAATATTGTCTGAATTTAGTATTGATATCCATTTAAGGGAACACTGAAAATAGCCACGTTTGTTTCTTCACTCTTTTGTCGTGCCTTTTTTTTATAACTTCTTCTTCTTCTCCACAAATCCTTTGACTACACAACGAATGGAATAAAAAAAAAACCTGAGTGCTGCATTCGAAGCACACGAATCAAAATGTGAATGTTCTGACGCAGTAAACAAAAACACACGATATTCAATACATAGAGATAGCAAGAGCTCCCAATACGTCAACAACTATATAATTATATAAAAACAATTTGATGTGTTTGCATTTATTTCACATCCATCGCTGTCTGTGTCACTCACTCCATGCGTCGTTGCACCGCATTGAATCCTGTTTATGCGGCGAAGTTGTTCGCGTATTCCACACACAACACAATCCCTTTTTTTATTGTTTCGCTCTGGTGTTGATAAATGTGGCGCGATCCACATACACTCACTATGCGGCGGTGAGTAAGTGAAACAGAGCCAGGCCACAGAACAGGGACGTCGTAGTAAATAACAATATAACCAAATCGACAAACGCATAAACATATTCTACTCTCGCGTGTATACAAAACTACGTCGAATACGAAAAAATGCGCGCATTTGTTAAGGTCAATGTTCGAAGCGCGCGCGTTCAATTGTGTACAAAACACACACACACACACATATGCACATACATAGATCGACGACAGATGCGGGAATCATTTTCGAGGTTTGGTCTTCTGTTTAGAAATGTCGAAGGAGAAAATATAGCGAAGGAACAATAATAAAAAAAAAACACACACACAAAGTTCGAATGCGTGCGAACGTTGAACCGAACCCGCTTAAACCGAACGTGTGTAAAAATTCCAAATCATTTGTGGTGTTTACATATTTTGGATCAAAATATAGGAATCGAAATTGCAAATGGCATTGGATATGAATAGATTTTTGGCACTTGTCTATGTGTGATTGTATGGACGACAACTTGATTGTAGTATTTCGTCATAAATCATTTAATAGACAGCACGACATCGCGACTCATTCAATTCGACTGACTATTAGCCGGGGCCAAAAAACGCTGTCAAGGTCAACTCCATTCAATAAGTTCGCCGGCAAGTGACATTACGCGTTCGCTTTGTGTGTAGTAGTATCCGTCTAATGGTTGAATTGCCAAATGTGCTACCTCTTGAAATAACAAAAGGTACAGTCAATTAAAAAGAATTGCCATGAGTCAATGTATGTTCATTGACCCACCGCTTTGGTTTGACTCGACGGTGTTTTTTTTTCGTTCGCTTCTTTTTTTCTGCAAATCATTTGCGTTCAACTTCGTCCAGACTATTGCAACAACAACAACACAGCTCCATGGTAGCAGCAATGGGACTATGGCACTCTGTGTTGTAACGACGGAAAATGCTCGTTTTGGCAAATTCGACCATGAACGTGTAAGCGGCAATGAACGATTTTCAACGATGTATTTTTTGGATATTATAAATACATTTGTTTCGTTTGTCAATCTAATGTCGGTCGACAGTGAGAGAAAATGAGTTCAAGCTCAAGGATTTTTTTCTCTGAGCCGAAATTTGTAGAGGACGACGATAGACATAACCGTTTCTAAAATTGTCACTACGAAAAACGTCGAAAAATTTGTTTACATAACATTCGATATATATCGTTGGCCTAGAAAATCACTTCAAAATGGATGACATAAGGCATACGTATGCGTCAATCGAATAAATCGCATTCAATCAAATGCGAGAAAAAGGCGGCAAAATAGACGAACCGATACGAGCGTATCGAAATCGATTGAAATCTATGATGGTTTGAACGAACATATCACGAATTCATAGCGGAAGAAATGCATTCGGGTTTGAATCTTTTGTTTGCGTTCTCATGAACAGAGTGCATATGTTGTTTACTAGTTGGGTTTGTATCGTGATTAGCGTGTGTAGAATGCGTTTGTGTATGCATACAAAAATGCGGCGTGCGTACAGAACAGAAAATGAATCAATGTGATTCTGGTTGAAATTCAGCGTTGAATGCATGTGTGCGTGTGCATGCATCGGCGCGAGTTGCATACGAGTGTTAATGTGTTGGTTGTAAACAGAAACCGAAACCGAAAGGGAACACGGTCGGCACGTTGTTGTCATTGAAGTGAGAGAAAGAGGCTACGAGTGAACAAAAAGTACATTCGGTTTAAAATACGAATCCCATTCACTCACACACGCACACACATGCACTTAGACCAAAACAGCAGCAGGAGCGGTAGCTAGGGTGCGCTTGCGTTACACATCTCTCGTCGGACGGTCATCGTGAGTGCATACGAGTGTAAGTGCACGTAGCAACAGTACCAGCTCTCCTTTTGCCGCTATATCATTACAAACACGGACGAATACATACATGACGCTTACTACGTTTTCACGTTGGGTTTTTACGGTAACATTGCCGATTGAGCATAGCAACACACATGGAATGTGCTGCATGCTTATCGTTTATGTGTGCTATGGCACAAATTTCGAAAGCATTCTCACAGTAGGCAAAACAAATGAAGACCTATTTTCATGTTTCTTCATAGTCGTTGTCTTCGTCACCACCTTTTTGTCTCTGTATTGTTTACTGTCAAGTCAACGGTTTTTGATTCCATCTTTTCGGTCGTAGTAATGACATTGTATATTCGATGTTATATTTTTTTGTTTGCGGTTTTTTTTTTCCTTGCAAAGTTTTCTATGAACGCTTCGATGAGTGTGACATTGGGTGTACTTGCATTTAACAACAATTTCGCAGACACGAACAACACGAATTCTGTTGGAATATGGTGAACACGCACGAAACGAATCGACCCATGAACAATGAAATTGGTGAACTGCTTGCTTCTAATGATGATCGGTGCGTATATACGCACTTCAATGTGTGTGAACAGAAGAAGTAGAAAAAACTTATAACGCAATAGAATGCGAACACAAAGCAGAATGGCCGAAAAAGAAATTTTTGGTTACTTTATACGCCATATTTGTATATTGGAGTTATTTGCTTGGATTTATGTATTTCATCAGTAAAATGACTCACTGACAACGGTACAGTCGAAAGATGTAAGTACATTAGAATCAACAGAAAAAAAAACATAGTGTGTGCCAATGCAAAGTCCAAATTCCTTTCGCTCTTAACTTTTTAACCGATTCCTATCGCAATTTGCAAGACAAAACTGTATTATAATGGCATGACCATTTGGAATGTACATTTGAAATGATAAGAAATGCTCAGAAAAACCTCAAAACCAAAAAGACTTGACGGAATTGATTTGTTTGTTTTTTTGTTGTTGTTGAAAGTTTACAAACATTTGTTCAATCGCTGACGACAATAATCATATTCGAAATGCAATCCAAGTGTTGAGTATTTCACTTCTTCCGCTTTGAGTGGTTGGCTACCAACACTATGTGTTTGCTTTTTAATGTGTCGGTTTTAGACTGAAATTAGAGTTGCTTTATGTAAGAGCTCTTGTTTCACATTCACAGTCGCCAGAAAGCGTAAAGCGAAAAAATGAAAGTAAAATGATGTGTGTTTTTTTGTTCAGCCTCTCTCTCTCTGTCTCTAGCTCGATCACTCACGTTCACTTTGTCTGTCTTGGCTGGCTCAGCTTGGCGGTTTGAATATATGTATAAAAGCGATCGCATTTTTTTCTCTCACTCTCTCAAGTCGCGTGAACGTGTGCATGGAGATACATGTGGATTCCATTACGAAACACCGAGTCAACCGTTTTTCTCGCTGTATTTCTCTTTCTCTCTATTCCAACGGAATCGAACACCGTTTGTAATCTATGGAGTAACCGTACACTAAGACATTGTCAACTGAAAAGTATGTCAGAAGCAATGAAATTGGTATGTTTGACTGACTTTAACACCATTGTTCAGACGATTTAGCGTAAATTCCAGCGCTTGCCATGCCATGCTATGAGCGCAAGAAAAAATTCATCTTCTTCTTCTTTTTCGTTGTACCTCTTTTCACTCGCGATTTTTTTTTTCTCCTCATGCCGAATAGTTGAATGAAAGAGACCGGGAGAGAGAGTAAGTATATGATTCATAGACGCGCATACAATTTGGCTACTGTGCTTAAGACACATGCTGAATTTCGAGATTGCATACGAAAATTATGAAATTCCGCTTCAGCGTTTTCGTTTCGTCCGAATTGTTTTGTGTGTGCGGTTTTCAACTGTACATATTGTTATTGACCTCATTTTTCGAATCGCGTTTTCAGTGAGACTCCAATTTATGCACGAGCAAGCACATACACACACACACACGCCCATAAACATACACACACGCGGGAGTAGTGAATGAAAAAAAAAACGTAACAACCATCAGATTCAGTGCCAATTTGTGATTTACATTGTGGCGCACGCTTTTTTGCAGCCAACAACACTCGCCGAATATGCGGAATCCATGAAAATCGAATGTGAATGTGAATGTCATTGTTATGTACAACTCATTATAATTTTATAAGCGTGTCAGTCGCATTACGCGAACGCGGATTTCCAAAAAAAAAAAATTTGTTGCACTTTTTTCTTCCCATTTAGCGTCGAGTGTATGTGATGATAATAATTGTACATCTGTGTAGCCCATTTAGCGCCTCCGACCAATCAATTGATTGAAAATTGAAAATCTTCTGGCTACTTATTGCACCGCACACAATCACAGTACATTTGCAAACAAACTGAAAGTCATCGATCAGAAGATCGCTCGTTGTGATTTCTCACTTCGGAAATTACGACATGACGGAAGAAAGTATTTTCTGTTTGCGCATTTTTAATTCGTCAATTAAATTGAGCTATTGTGTAATTTTCCTCCGATGTGATTTTTGGAAAAACTTCCATCTATTCAAGGGAACGAACGAATTTGGCGAACGGGTTTTTCTTCTATCGAATGTTTCATCATATTTTTTTTTTCGTCATACAAACTGTTGAATCAAAGTCGTCAATTGTTTTCAAAACACGATTTCTGACTGAAAATTACCAGTTCTTCTTTTTTATTCACGGTCCAAAATCCAAAATCAAAGGTGTGAAATGCGAAATTTCTGATTCGATGACACTTTTTCGTGTGTATCGGCATTAATGCGATAAAAATTCAATTGAACCCCATTTTTTTGCGTCGTTATACGTATGTTTCTACTTTGTTCACAAAGAAACCTCCTTTCCAATTCAATGCGACCATTTAAACAAAACGAAAAAAAATGACAAAAATTCTATAACACTTACCAAAAATCACTCGTTCTAAATTTAATTTCGTATTTAAATACAAATTTTTTCACTTTCAAACAATAATTCACCGATTTTCTGTCATCCAAATGCACAGTTTGAAACAACAAAAAATATTTGTTGGAAAAAACGTTGAAGCACAGTTTGTTACTTTCGTGTGGCTTAGCCCAACTCTAGCAATATTTTGAATGAGGCTTGTACGTTTTGGCTGTGCTCAACGTATGTTCGTTATTTGTGTCGCCGAATACATAAGCGATGCGGTAGTGTGTGTGCGCCGATTTCTTGAAAAACGAAAATGTTGAAACCGACAACAGCAAACACACGATACACGAGAGCGATGAGCAGCGAGAAACACACAGTAAAACGAAAACAACAACACAAAGCAGCTAGCAACCCAGAAGGAAAACACAAAACAAATCGTGCAAACGACATATGTACTATGGAGTGCGTCAGTGCAACAGATTTTTGTTTACCTGCTTAACGATGTGTTTGTGCCCTTGTAGTGGTGCTGCGATGCGGCAAACTAATATCAGCAACGAGTATGTGTATATAAAAATGGCGGTGCATTCGACGTTTGTGTACCGCAACGGACACGCACACATCCACATCAATCAGATGATGATAATTCAATCTTCAAAATAACAATCTAACCGACCATCGTATCGTATTGGCATCGGAAATCGGCTATGGCATTTTTGTAATTTTTTTTTTTCAATGGGCTATCTGTGTGATCTAAGCATCATTCGGCTGACATTCAAACTAATCGATTGATCGATAGTGCACTGTTAACAAAATCAACTTTCAAATTATTCAAATGTTAAGGCCAATGATACATGCACCTTGTGTGAACGCAACGCAATCATCAATAACAATTTTACGCGCTAAACCGCTTTCCCACACATACGTGAATACAAACACCAGCACACAATCACATCGAAAGTGTGTACGGCTCTTTAACCGTAAACGAACTGCTAGAAAAATTCAAATATCGAACAATAAAACTGCTTGAAGAATCACAAGTGTCAAAATAGACACGTCAAAACTGTCAAAGTGAAAAAAACCCAATAAAAAAAAGTGTGAATTCTATTGAATTGATTTAATTATCTTCAAATTCCGGGAGAATATTTTTTGTTTGTTTCATTTTCGACAAACGAATTTAGTTTTGTGTCCGATATTTACACGAAGTTTTTGTCATCGCATTTTAAATCAGTACGAAAAGTCAGCAAAATGTCCAATTATAAAATATCGTCACGAGCCTATTCCAAAATGGTTTTGCATGCAGCGAAATATCCACATTGTGCGGTGAATGGATTGTTACTGGCCAGTGCTAAGGATTCATCAAATAATATCGAGATTGTTGATGTGATGCCACTATTTCATCAGAACTTACACTTGAGCCCGATGGCCGAAATTGCATTGGTTCAAACCGAGGCTCTGGCCTCTGCAAATGACTTACAAATCGCTGGATACTATGCAGCCTGTGAGCTGTTCCATGATAATACAATCGAAAAAGCACCGAGCGTGAAAATCGCCGATAAAATCGCAGAAAATAATCCAAATGCCGCATTCATCATTATTAACAACACAATTTTGGAGGGTAAGGGCAATGGTGCCGCTTTGAATATCTACCAAAACAAAGAAAGCCACTGGGTACCAACATCGTTCACACTAAACCAAATCGATGAAACACTCGATGCAGTCGAGCTACTCATTCAACGCGGTGCAATGAAGGATCTGTACGATTTTGATAATCATTTGGACAACGTTAAATTGGACTGGGCTAACGTTCACCTGAATCGCGATTTACAACAACTTCTCGCCATGTATTAACGCCTTGGAAGTATTTTTTTCAAATTAACACTAACAATAGATAATACTTTGCATTCAATTGGTATCGGCATCTGTTATATGAAAAACAAACGAAAATTCCATAATAAAATTTAATAGCATTTGAAATAAATTCGATGGTGTTTTATTCAATTACTTGGTTTGACAATTCATAAAATATTACTTTTTTTCAGGTTCACTACTCAGCTTAATCTTAGATAAAATGAATCAACTCATACAATGAGAGAAATTTGGAATTTTTTAAAAGAATGAACCTTCTTCACATATTTTGAATATTCAATTGAAGTGATTGTAATAAAATTCGACTCAATTCAATTGAATTTGGCTTCTAAGCTCCCAATCGTTCAAAAATCAAACGTGAAATGATGCTATTTTCAGCGTGAAAACTTATTTCACAGCCGTTATGTGATTGCACGATTTTTGTGGGCCCCAGTTTCGAACTAACTGGCTTTTCAGTGCCAAAATCAAATTTGATTTCATATTTTATATTTCGGTCAATAACAATTGGGAATGGTAAAATTAAACGATTGGCCAGAAGACTTCCCAGCAGCATCGATCTTCCACTTTGAGAGTTTTGAAGAGTAATTTTTGCATCGCAAGGGTTACCAGCTGAACAAGTAGTAGTATGAATTTCCTTCAGCAGTAGTTTTGAGTTCGAACTGAATGAATGTTCGATTGTTCGATGTTGGCCCAGAAATCCAAACCATCTATTTATATGCACAGGGCCGCAATCCAGAATACATGAAGCTGACGCTGCCATTTCACCCACTTCGTATTTCTTTGCTTTCTTTAGAATAATCGCTTCCAATTCATCCTCGTCGAAAAATCGCTCGTACGTTTTTGTGTGCCAGGCGAACTCTTCCGAATTCAATTCAGCAAAAGGAATGCAATCGATTGTGTCTTTGAGTTGCGCTTTCAGATTGGCAGAAGTGTGCTCCAGATTTTCACGATCACATTCAGCTTTGGCCCAAGCCATGCACGCATCAACAACGACCATTGCACTGCACTTTGATGACGACAACTGTATAATATTTTCGAACAGCTTGTGATCGCACTCCAGGAAATTAGCCGATTTTAGAATTTCCGTTGCCTTTTGTGTGATTTCTCGTTTGCAGAATTCGACGGTGCTTTTCATCTCGAGTAGTAATGCCACTGAATAGCCCGAACACATGTTATTGATTGTCAGTGACATTTCCATTGGAGATTTGCAGAGCTCCAAACCGTCGTTGACCTCGTATTTCTTGCACAAATTTGCCACTTCGAAAATGTGTTCGGACGACAGTTGCACTTCGACCAAATAAAAAAACTGTAAAAACTCCTTGAACGCGTTGGGAGATGCATCGACAATCAAAATATGTGTTTCTTCAGGCAATGATCCGTAGAACATAGCATCAAACACTGGGCTACCAATCGATAGGATACTTTTATGCGCTACAACGCTTTCAGTACTGTCTTTAAACGCGAATTTCGTGTCGGATGTTTTTGTATCCAGATACAATTTGTGGCCAATAGACAATGCCGTTGTGTTGTTCTGTTTAAACACTTCACTGGTCATCGTTGTTGCCTGTATTGAATTATTTTGGAAATTTTTGTTAAAATTACACGCGGAAAATGTGACTGTCGTTTTTACTTATTGAATGCGCAGACGCAAACAGTTTTATCTAATATTGATACTTACTTTTTAATCAATTGTTCGTCCAATTGACGATTTTAGATGTGAATCGAATGGATAATTTTGATCGGAAACTTTTTTCTACATTAAATTTTACGTTGTGAAATTGCGGACGACTTAGTATTCGCTTCAGATGCCAAATGAATTGTGTTGTGCATAGAATTGTCACTTGCGAATGTTCCCTCTATATTTTGACAGATTCAATGTGTCAATGCACAGGTTGCAATTTATTATCGGTTTGACATATTCAAATTGTTGAACCGCGGAAACTTTTCAAGTTAGCATCGATCGAAATAGAATAACAGATCGCCTTCGAGTTCATAATTCTCTGAATGTCCACACAACGATCCTAATTAAGCTAAAATTGATTATCTTTTAAAGTAAGACCTGTACAATTTTAAACTGTTCGTCATTTTTTATTTAAATCATCATAAAGTTCTACAACCAGCAATGTTTAATCTAAGCTTTGCTCTATTTTCTGTGCGTGTTTAGCGATGCTTTCTTGAAGATATTTGGCTTTGTGTCTCAGTCGAAGTGCTCGATACCTTCGATAGTTGATCTCACATACAGCTACGCCCAATTGTTCGAGTTGTTTTGGTCGTAATCGAAATGTACCTATCTTTGAATCCTCGTTAACATCTCGCACGCCGAATAAGAATTTCCTTGCACTAACATTTGATAGCAGATGATAACGCTTCAATGAATCCACGCAAACGCTGTTGGGAATAATCAAATGAATAAATGTTAAATTAGACAATTAATAACAAATTTCAATCATTAGCAACAATATCTCATGAATCAATCACGACTTACAGCACTTCATTGTCGTTGCACGAAACGTCTTCCAATGCGACAAAACCATCTTCATCGCGAGTGAATTCACCGGTGAATGGTTCGATATGGCCTGTTTTCTTGTTGAATTTCACTAATGTATGGATTATGTGCATATTTTTGGTTCTGACATTTGTCAATACACTCGTTCTTCCCATATGGTCAATCAGGTCGAGTTGAATATCACACGATGGTAGCTGTTCGATGTAGCTCTTACAGACTCTCGATATCGCTTTTTTGTCTACCGCAGAGAGATTGATGTTCGTTTGCATTGATACGGTTTGATATAAAACTAGAATTTTATACAAATCATGTGCAGATAGATCTTTTCGACGCAAATAACCCTCCAAATATGATGGGCCAAGTACGCGTGAAATCAATTCCCGATTAAAATGACCAAGGACTACAAGTTGCAATGTGAATGGCAACCAAACATAATTGTTTAATTGGATGTGTGCCAGATTTTCATTGGCTAAAATCGCCGGAACAATGCGATCTGACCAGATATCAGTGCCTTCCGGACTTTCGGGTGTGTAACAATTATTTGCAAATGCCTGGATGATTGTAAACACTTCGAAAGAGCTCATCGTTCGACAGCTATCAACATTTGATACCATTTTATCGCCCATGTACTTCAACAATGCTGCGCTTTGGAAACTCTGCAAATGAAAAAAAAGTGATTTGGTTTTTGGGTTTATTCCATAAGCAGCTTTCTTCTCTTTAGCACAACTTTCTCATATTCAAATAAATGTAAATAATGCATCAATTTTTCAAGGAAATGTTTAATCATGTGCCTCCAAAATTGGTCGTTTAGCTACTTACAATGTTCTTAATTGTTTTCTGCAGCGCCAAAGCCGCTCCTAATCCCAAATCTTCTTGCGAAATCCGTTCGGCGGCGCTCTTTAGAAGGCTGTGCAGATGAAATTGAAATGGTGAAAAATGGTTGACTGTGGTTGCAACAAGGCGATTGATGACTTTTTGTAACTCATTAATATCAACGTCTGAAATTTGATCCATTAGCCGTCGTATGCTTGTGGCCATCAATTTGATGCTGTTTGGCAAAGTAAACCGTCCGATCGTACACAAATGGTAAATGATATTGATGGCATCTTCTGCTTTGATTTCCTCATGTTTATCGCACAGAATTTTGCAAATTATCTTCATGTTTTCATTTTTGATGTCGATATCTTTGTGGCTGGTTAGATAATTCAGAATACTGACTAACTCGGGCACACTATTCTCTTTATCGATTTGTTGTGTAACTTGAAGCTCAAAAACGATTGGCAGCGATGACTGAATGGTTTTCTGTAGCTCTGACCGGCATTCCGTTTGGCTCAGTACATAATCCAAGTAAATGATTTTATCCACCGACAAATTGTTGATTTCATGTCGAATCAAATTCAATAGCACCAATGATATTTCACTATTCGTTGGAACGCCCAATGAACACAGGAATTTAAATGATTTAACCAATTCGTCAGAGGTAAACATTGTACTGCATCGTTTTAAACGACGGCACAATTGCTCGAACGTCGGATGCGTTGTAATGAAATCACATTTGACGGTGTCTTTGTTGGCTCTCTGTAGCACAGCTATGGTTTGTAAGGCACGTATGACTGTTTCACCCGGCATCGATCGATAATCGGATGGATTTGATGGTAATGTACTCAATATTTGCAATGGATGTGTGGCCGATTTAAATTTCGTTTCAAGCACTTCAGGCTCATGACTTACTGTGACCGGATCTTTAAAGAAAAAAAGAAAAACATTTATGTTAATTCACCCAATTGAATAAGTCATATATTAACACGAATGCAATTTCACAAGACATACTTTTTTTTACCACATCAATCTGGTTGAAACTGCTTAAACTGCTTGACGAGTAGCTGGCCAACGGTCGAAAATATACGGTTTCTGCCAATTCTAATTTCCTCCACAACGCAAACATAACAAAAAATGGTTTTTTTTTTCTTAAACAAAAATAAATCAATTATTAAAACGGAATTATACAATTCTATATATGGCTAATGTGGCCATAGTAGAATGATGAACATAACCCAAAAATGGTTCAGTATTGATGTGACAGTTGTCAACTGATGACGTTTGTTTGTTACAAAGTTCATTGTGGACAAATTTAAAGTAAAAGTGTCATTGAATTCGGTTTATTTCCTCACAAATAAAGAGACAAAAAATAGAAATTAAATCAATTGGTGAAGTAAAATTGGGAATTAAATCGGCAAAATGTGTTGCAATACAATATTTTCGTCATTGGAAAATTGAAAATGCCGTCGGCATAGAGAATGTGATAAACACCTGTCTAATCCCCTTATCAGTGAAACGAATGGTTGTTGTTTGTACGTCAAGTGCGTTATCATAGAAAAGAAGACCGGTAAACAAGTGCAGCAAAGTCCGAAATTAGCGATCGGCAACAACCAGAAATAAGCACACGCAAATATCGTGGATGCATTTTGAAAAGATGAACATTGTTTTTCAAGTTATGGTGCTGTTGTTGGGTGTTGGAACAATTTTCAGCGCAGATACATCAAGAACTGTTCTATTCCCGGATTTGAGTGAGGAAAATTCCGAAGAATTCGATTACGGGGCCATTGATGTGTCACAAACAGCATCGCAATCAAAGCTATCGTCAACCAAAACGATAAAATTTCGCATCGACTCAACGGATGTTCCATGCGTAAATACAACGATGTATTTCTGTGAAGAAGTCACAAATCAAGCGTATCCCAAACAGTATGTGGAGTCAATGCTTGCAAAAACCGATGCACAAACTTACAAAAATTATTTCAATAAGACACTGCCAAAGGAGACGCTTCGACTGCGCTCGTTGTCAACGAACAATGAACCGATTGAATTGTGCGATAGTTTTAAGCGTGTCATCCACCCTCAGTTAGCTAGGAGTGTGCACCGTGAATGGCATTTCGTTATCAATCAACCGAGCTATCAGCAGCCGATTCTCATGGAAATTTGCCGAAAGAAAAAAAGCAAATGCCTATTCAGCGAATCGCAATCGATGAATTACGTGTCATTGTGTGTTCAGAAATATACCAAAGTGCCATTACTTAGCCTACGTGAAGATGGCCAAATGGTCTCCTATGACTATGAATTTCCAGGCTACTGCCAATGCGAAATTCAACCGAGAAAATCGATAAAACGCCAACGTTTCTAGATTTAGATTTGACATTATGCGCTCACTTTTATTGAGATTATTTGTAACACTTATGACAACTTTTTACACAATTCCATGCTATAGATTTGTTTTAAATGGAAACATACTGTATTACTGTATTGACTATGTATCCGACAGGGAATCTTAAGTATATTAAAACCATTTCGCAACTGACTGACTGAAAATGAATTGTGTTTTAGTTTTAGATATTTTTATGGCGATGCCAATCTGGTAAATTGATAATCAAAATAATGAAAATAAAGTTACATAATCGAAAACCCATGTCGTCTTGATGAGCACTCGGTTGCCGTTAAAATTTCAATTTAATATCCTTTTAGTATATATTCATTCAAACTGCCGTTGCTAGTGAATGTTTCGCTTCATAACCGCAAATTTCTTTTATTCATTCTTTATTTGCTCTACTCTGGATGAAAACTAATTACGGTTCTCTATTTTCTTCCCTCTTCAGCAATATCTGCACATGAATTTTGTGTGAAAATGCATCGTCCGTAACATTCGATGCAATGGCGCATCAGCATTTGTGTTTACATTTTATTACAAAAATTTTTGTTGCTGAAAATATTAGTCCATACGAGTGGAAATTAGTATTCCGTTGAAAGCATTATAATATACATATTATTATTAGATCTAGCAATTGAAAACCGAATTTTTTCGATGAAATTTGAATCTTTATTCAAAGAAAACGGTACAATAAAATATCAAAGTATTGTCCATCGGAAGCGACATTCTTTGCCTATATTCCAGGCAATTTATAGAAACCATCTCTAAAAAAATAACTGCACTTCCCTAGTAAAACGTAAAAACGGTTCGTGAGGTACCTACACCTTTGCATATACCTTGTGTACACATTCATAGGAGTGAATGGTTTTTTTTTTCTTCATCCTGCCTTTCGCAAATGTTTACAGCAAAAAAAACAATAACAATATTTGTTCGCTCCAATGCATATACACGCAAGGTATACGCAAAAGTCTAGATGCCTTATGAACCGTTTCTTTGGTTCACTCGGGTTCTGACCCCATGAACGGGTCGATCCATTTTCTGAGTGTTTGAAAAAAAAGCGAACCGTTCTCCACTTAGATAATTTTGAATCATTTGAAGCAAGTGCTATTCAGAAGGCGCGATGTCTGAACACTACAGCGGGGGCATAGCGAGTATTCATAATCAACTTTTTCTTGGAAATTTTCGTCTTAATGTGTGAAAAGCCACTGAATTTTTTTTCCCTAAAAACCAACTTTTTCCGTGACAATGAGCAAATTTTTCTATTCTGCTTTAAGAAATTAATCTATAATGATTAATTATTGTTGGGAACGATCAAATCTAACATTTCGATACGATTTTACTTTCGCACAACGGACCATATCTTCCCCGCCCCCGCAAATATGGAACAATGACAACGAGCCGCTATCGAAATATGGTTTTTTCTACTTGAGTCAATCGTGAAGGGACCATTTTTTATATTCAGTGCCAAGCCGATACAAAAACAATATTTTTTTCAAATTTTTTCCGCGTGAAAAAAACAGCTCCCGCAAATGTCGTTTTTTTTCTCCAATTTTCAAAATTTTCTATGGACACAATGGAACCACTTGGAGAAATGAAGCTTACCCATCTCGATATTGATTGTCTTGAACGGATTTGTCGGTATTTGGCCCTCGAAGATTTGTTGAACGTGGCGGTTTCAAGCAAGCAATTGAAAAAAGCCGCAGATTTGGTGTTTCTCCTAAAATATAATAGTAATTTCTGTGTTAGAATTGGATGGAAAACTTGTAATATGCATGAGTATAAATACTGTTTTATAATTGGTGAATATCCAATGGACAATGTTGGAGATGTGTATTTTCTCGAACGTTACATCGAACCTACAGACTTGAAGAGAGCATATCAGGTGCTACGATGCTTTGGGCATTTAATATCCAAATTTCAATTTGAATTGAAGGAAACTAGCGTTCATTTTGATAATTTAATGTTCTACATAAAGGAATACTGTGCCGAATCACTCACTGAATTACCAAATTTTTGAAATACCAGATGGATCAATGAATCGCTTTGTGAAACCGTTTCCAAACGTTCACACTCTTTATGTTCGATCATCTCATTTGACAAATGTTTCGATGGCTGAAATATTCCCAAACCTGAAGCGTTTAAAGTATCATTGCAAAAGAACTACTGATTTTGCTAGCATCGAATCAGATGTACCTAATTTAGAGCATTTGGAATTGGATGTTTCTTATGACCGAGAAAACGAATTACTTCGAACAATTCGGTTAAGTCCGAAGATACAAAGCTTGGCAGTTCCAATTAACGTCATCTATCAAGGCATAAACGAAATCCTTCCGAATCTCCAGGTTTTAAGGGTGAACAAAATACCTTTTCCCCCCTTCTAACTTTGAAAACTTTCAGAAATGTCATTTTGCAACTGTAAAACGATTTGGAGTTTTTCATTATAATGTGGGTTCGATAATACTCCCATTCTTATTCGACAAACTAGAGGGATTTGTTGTGGAATTACGAGCACAATATTCTTTACGCGAGCAAGAAACCTTATACAATTTCAGCAGCGAACATCCATCTATGGTAAAATTGGAAGTTGGAAGTTATGACAACGATATGAATTTATTAAAATTAATAGATATGTTGCCATTGGTGGAGGGATTCGATGTAAGCAGTGAATTTTTAATTCCGAATGTTGTTCGGTTCGGTTTATGAACGAAAAAATTTACTTTCCATTTACGAAATGGTCATAATATCGATATTCCTGATATACTTGTGCAGGCACACTTCAAAGATAAATGGCATGGTGTAAAAATTAAACGTACTTCACTTGCAGGAGGACCATGTCCATTTGCGCCGTTCAAATTTACACGGATTTTGTAATAAAATGTGAATCTACTGATAAGAAAGAAAAAGTGACGATGAAATGTTCATTCATGTTTCATTGCAATGTAAGCAATAGCATTAATCTTCAAATAAAATTGTTTATTTTAAACAGAATACTAGCTTGAAAGAGTTTCCGTTCACAAATACATAAATTCATTTTCTGTGCGTCCATTTTTCCAGAAAATAAAACACAATAGCTTGAACCTTTTGATCATTGAAACTGGAACGGCGTTCAATCCGATAAAACTATTTAAAAATTCATTTTTGGGGGACATTCAAATTGAAGAATGATATTTTTGAATTGTTATTGTTCGCCATTTGGGTTTGTATACGCTGAGAGTGTGTAGTGTGCACTGTGCACTTGATCGAGAGACATTTTTTCTTTGATTTCGTAGATATCGCTTATCGGAATGACAGATTCGCTTATCGGAATGACAGACCGGGCTCAAGTGGCATTTTGTGATTGATTTGAAGAAAGAAATTAGAGGAAAAATGAGAGTTAATTCAGTTCATTTCCTAACTAAATGTTGATAATTTTACTTTTCTATTCTAAAAACGAATCTTCTTTAAATAGAACTTGAATGAAACCTTTGATTTTTCCAAATGTTTCGAAACTATTTTTACTTGATTCGTATATTCCAACCATACGTATTGCGGCAACACTAACACATACATATGAACATTCGCCCTTTATGTTTTCGAATATCCTTCTGTCATGACAGTATGTTGTTAAACAAAGGACACAGAACTCATTTGATGTTTATCCATCCAGTGCTATTTTTGTCTTAATTCAAGTCAACTCGACTCAATACTTCTGTAAGTTAAACGCTACCAAAACTATTTGGGATATAATATCGAAATATAATCTAGGTATAAGACACGAGGACTTTCACGATGTTTTTTTTTTTAATTTCCGCACAGATTTAATCTGGTTTGAAACCACACAGCTATGGAAACAATGGAACCACGTGAAGAAACGAAGCTTACTGACCTCGATATTGATTGTCTTGAACGGATTTGTCGGTATTTGCCTCTCGAAGATTTATTGAACGTGGCGGATTCAAGCAAGCAATTGAAAAAAGCCGCTGATTTGGCATTTCTCCCAGAATATAGCAGAAAATACACCGTAAGAATTGGCTACTTCTCATGTAATATGAATAAGTGTGAATACGGTTTTAAAATCGATTATTCTTTGCTCTTCAATGTTGGATGTGAGCATTTCGGAGAAATGGGATCGGGAGAATATACTATCGAAGCTACACATTTAAAGAGAACATATCAAACGTTTCGATGCTTTGGGCATTTGATATCCAAATTGGAAATAGGAATGAAGGAAACCAGCATTCATTTCGATCGCTTGATGTTTTACATAAAGGAATACTGTGCCGAATCACTCACTCAATTAGCATTTTTAATAATACCAGATGGATCAATGATTCGCTTTGTGAAACCATTTCCAAACATTCATACGCTTTATTTGACAAATGTTTTAAATGTTTCATTTGGTGAAATATTCCCAAACCTGAAGCATTTAAAGTATATTGGTACAGTTACTGAATTCACTAGCATCGAATCAGAAATTCCAAATTTAGAGCATTTGGAATTATATGTTGGATTAGACCTAGAAAACGTATTACTTCGAAAAATTGGGTCAAGTCCAAAGATAAGAACGTTGATAGTTCCAGGGGACGCCATTTATCAAGGCATAAACGAAATTCTTCCAAATCTCAAAGTTTTAAGGTTACACGGATCTTGTCTCGGACTCAAAGTATCTTTTGGAGTTGAGAAATTCCATTTTGCAACTGTAAAACGATTTGAAATGTGTAACTACCCAAGTCGATTCGAAGGATTACCATTTTCATTTGATAATCTAGAGGAATTTATCATTGAAGCAAGAGCACTTGAATCAAGACATGAAGAAGAATTGTACGATTTCATCAGCGAACATCCATCTATAAAAAAACTTGGAACGTGGATTTTTGAGGTGGATTTATTGAGATTAATGGATATGTTGCCATTGCTGGGAGAATTCGATACGAGAAGCGATTATTCAATTCATGACGTTGCTCGTTTTATGAATGTGAAGGAATCACTGAAAAAAATGACTTTTTATTTGATAGACGGTTGTGATATCGATATTCCTGATATACAGGCTCACTTAAACGATAAATGGCATGGTATAAAATTACGAGATCAATATGGTCCGTTCGAATTTACACGGATTTTGAAATAAAATATGAATCTGCTGATAAGAAAGAAAAACTGACGATGAAATGTTCAATCATGTTTCACTGCAATGTCAGCAATTGCATTAATCTACGAACAAATATTATGTATTTTATTCAGAATATCAATAAGTATGGAAACATAAGATCGAAAGACTTTCCGTAACAAAAGAAGTAAGTCGCATTGTTCGAACAAAGAAACGGAGAAAATGTCGTCTCAACACGGTATCTCCTCAATGATACATCTTCAGTGAATATGTTTCGCAATATGAATGGAACCATAAGAACAGTACAAATTCGTCTATAATTTTAATACCTTTTTAAATAAAAAAATCCAATTTAGAAAACATCGATTGTCATCTGTCAAAGTGGTTTGTTATGAGTTCGTTAATGTTCAAAAGCAGTTTGTCAATGACAACCATTTTCTCAGATTTTGTTGAAACATTTTGAGTTTATTCGAGAAATTTATCCGTTTTTTTTTTCACCTGAAATTGGGAATATTTAGAAGCAAAATGAACGTGGTGATAAGTGAGAAACTAATCGAGGATTCGCATGGAATTGACAGCGGTATTCGTCGGCTACAGAACAAATTGTCGGACGTTATTGATGGCATCACCGACAACAATGCTGATCCAGTGGCAATCTTACAGAAATACAAGGATGAAATGGCTGAAATCCAAACTGATTTAATGGAATTTTTGGAGCAGCAAAAGGAATTCGATCGTACCGTTCACAATGCGGAAAAAGAGATCTCGGCGATGTCCGAAGAAGTGAAGAAAATGCTGACTCAACACAATATCAATATCGATGAGAATGATCTCGAAAAAGGCACAGAATAAAAGCCAAAAATTATCACATGATTCAAATCAAAAGTATACGTTTTGTTTCATCAAAATCAAAAAGTCTTCTCTGCATATTTTAATGAATGAAACACAATAAACTTAAGCGTAGAACATGCTGCATTTTTATTCATTTTCTTTCCTAGGTGTTTGTGTTTCACGAATAAGAATAGTAACAAAATAAATGGAAGCGTATGAATAATACAAATTCGACGAAATTCCATTCTTCTTGCTCTCTAGATTTTCTTTTGTTTTTCAGTTTGATTTTCTTGTATGAGAAAGAAGAACGAGTCTAATTTCTACATGAATTTAATTATGTCTTTGAAGCAGTCGAGGTGTGAAAAGGTTTGTGAGGAACAATTTTGAATATACTTGATAATCTAGTTGAATTTAAAAACGATTTGTGTGGGAACTTGAATTCTAGAAATTGAAATTTGAAAACTGTGAGGTATTAACCAATAGGTTTGAATAAATAGAATTAAAATTTGGTAATACTTGGTCCATTTTTTCCCAACACATGTGATTCAAGGGACAACTCGCTTTCTATGCACACATCATATGACTCTTATCATATATCCGATTTTTTGTATATGACCGAAATGTGATTTCGAATTGAATCTACTCTTAATGAACAGATTTTTCCAAGTCCAACATGTTCAATTTTTTGCAATCGATCATGTTTGATATTGAAAAAAAAGTGTTTATTCTTAATCGTGGATTCAACCGTTGAGTTGCCATTGAAACCGTGCAATTTCTTCGAATGCGGTATGAAATAAATTTGGCAATTTAAGAAGAGAGACGTATTATTCAGTGACGGCTTCGTTTGTAGCTATGACTTCTGGTGTAGCTCTTTTCTCTTGAGTATTTATCACGTTTGTGGCTTCCCTGGCTTGATTTGCTTGTGCGATCATCGGAAGATGAGCGTTCCCGTCGTGAATGCTTTCGCGATCGATCCGAGTGACGTGAGTAACTACTACGATCACTGCTGCTGCTCGAGCTGCGCCGTCGATGAGAGGATTTTTTAAGTTTTCGGCTTGACGGTGAGCGGCTACGATCTCGTTTACTACGATGATGACTCGATTTCGACGATGTATGTTTCGAACGTTTAAGCGACGAATTGGAATCATCACTGTCTTTTCGATTACTTTCATGCTTTTTCACATCGCCAGACAGTGGCTTGAACTCTGAATGACTCGATCGAACACTTGACGCCGTAACACTGGCCATCTGAGTATTCGTCACATTGTAAACCAAACCCTTTGCATCGCTGAAACGACTGCCCTTTAGCTCTGATTTTGATACTGGAAGTTTAAAGGGAACAAACTGTAATTGACATCGTAAAATGGAATTGCTAATGCAAAACATACCATTTGGCAACTTTTGGGCATCCCGTTGAATCTCAGTATTTTCATTGCTTTTTTGGGTATAGGTAGCAAATGTGACGGTTGGCAACTGACGCTTTGATTCTTCCACTTTCACCGAGTCATCTTTTTCTAGCCACTGTTTCTCTCTTTCTTCCAGGTCTGCCAAATATGATTCAATCTCCTCTGATTTACTCTCAAATGCCATTTTTCGTCTTCGGATTACTCTCTGTGAATGAAGAAACGATTATAATTTAGAATTGATACTTATTATATTCATATATTCAATATGTGGAAACATTTTCAGATTCTAATCCATGATTATTTTGCCATTTTTTCAAAATTTCCCAATTAAAGCATAATTTCAAATTTATGCATAAATCTAACCTTAATCTCAGCATCCGAGTCATCATCGCTGGTATTGTGCTCGTTGGTTCTCTCTCCATCGGAGTCACTGTCATCGCCGGATCTCGATGCATCGCTGTCATCATACACGACCAATCCTAGATGTAAACATACAATAAACAATATTCATGCCATTCGAATCTGTTTGCACTATCGTTCAATTCTCAGTCAAACGAACGGCAGAAAACTGCGACGAAAATCTCGTGAGTCTCGTTCGTTCATTGCGGCTGATGTCGTCTTTTGGTTTTGACATTCTGACAGCCATCTTTCTTTTGCAGCCTTCTCTAATTCTGGTAAGTCCACTTTTTCTACTCTCTCAATATTTTTCCGTAAAATTTGGCCAAAAATCCCGAAAAATACCTCTAATCACTTCAATTTGTTTAATAAATTGGCAATAAGTTCAAGTTTTCCATCAGAATTTGTTTGTTTATGCCGAATTTTCCGAAAAAAGTGTATGCCTAGCACTTGAACACTACTAACACGTGTGAAACATCATCGTGTGAACAACAAAACTAAAGTGGATATATTTTTTTTTTCATTTCAGTTTGCGATAAACGAAATCAACATGCAATTACATATCCGCGGATTTTCCGAAACTATTGTTTTGGACGTTGAGCAACATGCAACCGTTGCTGAAATCAAGGTAACCATTCGGAATGTTCCGTTCGGAGAATTATTGTGATGTTTTGGTTTGGGTTTGGGTTTGGGTTTAAGGTTATGTGCTGTCTTTAATATGGAGGTGGAATTTTTTGTGTAAGTACAACGTGCATTCTGTTTCTAATCGTAATCTGCGTCATCCAGAGCTGCCCATGAACTGAACACGAACAGTTCAGTTCGAAATTGTTTTGTAAATTTCGTGTTCGTGTTCGTTCGGTGTTCAGTTCATGCAAAAGTCCAGTTTATGTTCGGTTCATGTTTGGTTAAAACTCGAACGAACTCGAACAGTTTAGTTCAATGGCAGCTCTCGCGCCGTCATCTTTATCGCTGTCTGTGCTAATTGAATTTTTCTTTCTCTTTACAGGAGAAAATTGCAACTTTGGTTGTTTAAACCAGTCAGAGACTTAGTTTAAGCAGTAAGAGAGTTGAGTACCAAACACATTGGGTTATGGTTGATAACTGACTTTATTCATACATTGTTACGGTTTATATAGCGTTGACTACGGAAGTACGTCAACGTGGAAATACGAAACAGTTTATTGTGCATAGCACAAATGTTTACAATAATTATTGTGCATTGTACATTGGTACAAGTCGATGCTCCCGCCTTCAAATTGTCATGCGAAGGTACCATTTTGGACTTGTTCACCACAGCCAGCGCATTGAGCAGCATCGAATTGGACGTGACCGTTCCATTGTTGGGTGGTTCACTAGTAGCCAACCTCATTGTTCATAATACAATCTCAAATGGTTTACCTGTCGTATGGTGTGTGGCTAAGGAGCAGATACGTTCATTCAACGCTCTGAAAGCAAAAATTTGGGAACGTTTTGGAGCGGCATATGCAAATCGTCCGGCGCTGATTGTATATCGAATAGGTATAGCCACTTTTGGAATTTTCCAGAGTTTTTTTTTTGAACTTCCACTAAAACTAAAAAGTTTTTGTTTGTTTTTTTCTTCGTTCACAGATTCAAAACACCAAAACATGCTCGTGAGTGATGACTACGACTTGAATGTGATACTGGACTCGGAAGGCGTTCCGGTACTTCATATCACACGAGAAATTGCCTTCAACTAATTTTCGACGATTCGTCAATGTCGTGCAAGGATTCGGACGTCGTCATGGTCCAAACTCAAACAGCGCATAAATTTAATTCAGAACATTCTATCAAGAGAAAAAAAAAATAATGGAATTTTTTGTAAGAACATTTATGTGCATTCAATAAACAACCAACTGTTATTGGAATCCAAACGAAATCGACTCTTTCATCTTTTGATGCTGGATGGCCTACGATAAAACTGTTTCGAAAAATTCATTTTCAGGGAGCATTCAATTAATTCATAATTTTCAAATTGAAGGTTTTGATTAGGTTTGTATGTAGTTGAGAGTGTTCGCTTGATCGAGAGATATACTTTGTGTGATATTGTAAGTATAGCTTAACTGTCACTCCGGCTTCTAGTGCAAATTTGTGATTGATTTGGAGAAAGAGATCAGAGGAAAAATTGAGAGTTAATTCAGTTCATTTCTAAACCGAATGTTGCTTATTCTTCTGTTCTACTCGAGAAACGATTCCTCTTTAAGTTGAACATTGAAGAAATCTTTGATTTTTTCAAATGTTTCGAAACCATTTTTACTTGATTGTTATATTCTAACCATTCGTATTTTGGCAACACTAACATATACATATGAACATGTGTATTTCATGTTTTCTAATGTCCTTTTGTCATGACAGCATGTCGTTGAACAATGGTCACAGCGCTCATTTAGTGTTTTTATAAAATCTAACTCAAGTCAAGTCAACTCAATTTAATACTTGTGTAAGTTAAACGCAATCAAAACTATTCAGGATACAATCGAAAAATATTCTAGGTTTAAGGCACGGGGATTTTGATGATGTTTCTTTCAATTTTGGCTTAGATTTCATCTTGTTCGAAACCCCACAGCTATGGAAACAATGGAAACACTTGGAGAAATGAAGCTTACTTATCTCGATATTGATTGCCTTGAACGGATTTGTCAGCTCGAAGATTTATTGAACTTGGCGGATTCAAGCAAGCAATTGAAAAGTATTGGTGTTTCTCCTGGAATATAACAGTGATTCCTCTGTTAGAATTGGATACAAAGCTTGTGATATTAGCTTGAAGGAGTTTCCGTATTCACATTGTTCAAACAAAGAAACGGAGAAAATACAAAGACACACACGTGAGCTCATTCTTTTCGCAGACTCTAAGTGGTGCTTTGATTTTTTTTCTTTAAAATAATACCTGAAAATTGTAATCGAATATGTAATAAATTCGGTGTTGTTTTTTTCTACTTTCTTCCCTCTTCATCCCTGCACATGGATTTGGTGTGAAAATGTATCGTTCGTAGAAAAAAAATTCGATGCACTTTATTGGTGTTTACATTTTGCTGCATCAATTTTTCGTTGTTGATGAAATTAATCTATACGAGTGAAAATTTTTATTTCGTTGGAAGCGAAACATGACTATCACATTTGAAGGCGCTGATGACGAAAGCTGCCTCCAATTTCGCAATAAAATCACTTATCAATTTCAACTTGTTGTTCATGCCTTTAATTTTTCATTCGATGACGAGAATATGTTCACAGTTCAAACTGTGGTTAAAAATAGACTTGAATCAGTTTTATTGAAAAATAGTTGGCTGCTTGACTGTCATGAAGAATAATTCGAGATTCATTTCAATTTTTAATCATTTCCAATTATTTCTGATACTCTCGGGAAATTTTGGAAATATGATTGATTTATGATCTTTTGCTGGGAATTTTTCGATAATCTAATCCCTAAAAATGACAAAAAGAAAAAAAAACAAGCGAACTCAGTTTAATTGAGCATTATGATCAAATTGCATTTTATTCTTTTGAAATGTGATAAACGGCTGTTCTCATCCACAATTCATTTTCATATTATGATGTTTAATAGAAGTTTAATCACATTTGCAGTATCCACTTTCACATGTTCCGAATTTATAGTTACTTTGTTCACAAAACGTGCGACAGGTTTCCGATGTAGACAGTTCGGAACATCGCTGCTTCTGGACATTTGAAGCGGGTCCAGCTAGTGAGAATAAATTGAAAAAAAACGAAATGAAGTCAATGAAAAATGGTGATAGCTATTCTAGTATTAATAACACAAATTATATTATTATCTATTCCGACGATCTATTTCTTCGTTTTTCGTGTGTATTTTTATAAATTTCATTCTCCAAAAATAGCATCAAAACTTCATTCTCTAACGACGATACATTCAAGATGATCATTTTCTCCACACTATTGCCTTTTTTCAATTGTTCATATTCATTTTACTTGAACTTCACCACAGCAGACACAACCAGAGAGTATATTTTCCGAGCAGGCTAGATTTAAAATACCCTCTCTGGCCAAAAATTTCTATAATAGTTAAATTATGGACAAGATTGTTTATTCAAAAATAAATTACCAGAAGCTGGAGAGATCTGGAAAGTAATTCCAAGGAATAGGACGACAGCAAACACGGAGAAAAATTTTAAATTCATTTTACTTCTCTTTAAATAACTCTTGATGTTTTGGAACGAAGTAACGATTTTCTACTGTTTTACGCTCGCCTTCGGCAAACGTTTTATATACTTCTTATCAACAAGACACTGCGTTGCAAATTTTAATGTGAATATACAATAGATAATGATAGCAAAATAACTGCTTGACCCGCGGTTACTCCGTTTCTATATTGTGATGTTTGGGTTTTTCCATGTTCCAAATTCTTAGAAAAATTCGATTCCACGAGAGTTGAAGTTGATCGGATCAATCGTGCTGAAGTTCAATTTTTTTACCAGTCGCTTATGATATTTTTAAATGAAATTTGAACTTTCAACTGATTTATTGTGATTCACTCCTGGTTCACTCTCGTTGATTGTTTCATTTATAGAAGAATAATCTGGAGCAAAAGGTTACAAACAGAAATAAAGGCCATTTGACAACCATATCAGCGCCACTATATTAGCATTTCAGCAGCATTTTTGGTTGTTTTATCAATTCAACTGAACAAAAAATGATCTTGTTGTAAATAATTAGCAAAGGGAAGCATCACTAGTGTTGAATTTAGTATACGCATGAAAAGTGAATGTAGTTCAATATTACTAAAGATGAAATTTTATTATATTTTGTCATTGTTGCAGTCAAACAAAGCTGTTGTTTACAACAGAAATCGAAATTGAAAGCGTTATTGACAGTTGGGTTTTCATTGATCTCACTTCATTCTAACATTTGATCTCGCTATTGGAATAAAATGGGATTTAGAAGAAAAATTCGAATTTGGAAGATCCACATTCCGCACATTCTTTCAAACAACATCTGGCAAAATCGTGTCATGTTTACTTATAGCAGGAAATCAACGCATTTTGACTGTACGGCGTACATGCCTTCTAAATTATATGCGATTAACAAATAATTTTCTATAAATGAAACTGCGTACAATATTTCATCTTTTAAAAAAAAATTCTATCAAATCAGTGAGGAAATATTTTTTTTTGAAATGTTGTTCTGTTTATTGCAGCATTGTTCATTTGAATTTGTATCAAAAACTTGATCATCTTCACCGGATTTTAACAAAAATTCATAAAATTACATCACCAAGGCACACTTTAAGTACAATTTGAAACTTATCATTTTCGTGGAATCTAAAAATGAAAAAAATTCAAGAACAAAAACGACCAAAAAATTCGAAATTTGGTTTTTGGTGCTTTTGAGAGAAACTAAAATTTTTTTTTTACTGATTTACTCATTACTTCATAAATCATTTTATTTACACATAATTCTTATCATTGTATTTGACGTTTGATTGCATCGTTTGTATACTGCAATTAAGTTTACGTTTTCTCTTTGCAAAAAAATACGATTTGAAAATTGGTTTTATATTTGAAATTGATTTGCCCACCATGATGAACAAATATGGGAAACCCAGAATATTTATCAAAGTTTCGATTTTATTCAGAAAAAAAAAATTCGGTTATCAAATTTATCAATGAATGGACTTTTGACTATCCTGAGGCACACATACATTTTATCAACTAAATTCTCTAATAACAAAAATGTCACTGTTTCTCTTTGATGGAGCAAACTCTAATGCATGACCAATAGTACTACCGCCTAACTTTGACAATTATTAGTTGTTAATTAAACGATTCAAATAACAAATAGTTTAAATAAATTAATGTCAAAACAATCGCTAAACACTAAATATGCATTATAAGGATCTTTTGATTAAAACAAAACAAAAGTTTAATGGTCAACACATTTTTTCCGTATTTCTAAACACATTATACAATTCAACGCCTTTGAAATATTGCCTATTGCAATTTATTTGAGTAAAGAATAAATAAATTTCGTTCACAGACATTTTACTCTTATCAATGTTTGATTAGGGAACCAAATTTGAATATCTAGTGGTCATAGCTCATCCAACATAGATGATCGATTTTAATATGTTGAGATTTCAGAATAAACATTTGATAACTGATTAACAAATATCAAGTGCTTTGGAGAGTTATTCTAGACATTTAAAGAAAATAACTATACTATGGTCAATGGATCAATGAGAATTTTTTGTTTAAATTCATTAAAATAAAAATGTTGCTATCGAAGCTGTCATTCGTAATAAAAGATCAAACTAATCGGTTGATATAGGAAATAAAATAAATTATAACCTAAAGCGAGCTAGATTTTTGCTGACAATATATCAATTAGATGCAGCTACCAACAAATTTGATCAAACAAAGTCAATTTGACCAACGATTGATGGGTTTGACTTAGTTATTTCACTGAGCGGCAGGAATGCTCTCTGGTTCCTTGAACGGTGGAGCTTTCAGCTCGGATGTCGACATGTCTTCACGCAAACGACGAACTCTATCCAAGAGGTCCGCATCGATGACATTCTCTTCCTTTGGCTCATTTTTCGCCAACAGCTTCGGCATGAACAGCTGCTGCAACGCGATTATTATAAACATCGACGAAATGATGGCATTCAAGCGATACAACGAATCCTGACAATACAAAACTGCTATAATGGCCATCACATAGCACAGACTCGACATCGGCTCGTAGCCATGGCTAATGGTGAAAGAAGAAAAACAAAATAAATTAAAATCCAAATTGGTCAAGTTCGAAATTGAATATTTGAATTCTTCTTCATTCAACTGGAAGGGATAGTTTTTCATTTGAAAACTGTGTTTGAATAGATTCATTAAAAGTTATTCTTATCAATCAACACTTACACATTTCGTGGTGTCGGCAGCTGCCAAATAACCGACAGTGAAATGATTGAAGCAATCGCAGGGAAATATGATGGATCGTGCTGAAGTATCTTCTCTCCGTATTTATAATTTCGTGCCCAAACAATCACACTGGGCAAATTGAGCAGGGCCAGCACGCAAAGCAGTAAAAATAGCGTCATGTGAAAATGAATAGCACTCAATCCGTCTGGTACATCGTCATACTCTTCTCGAACTTTTTGCATTTCATCATTTCGTTTTTCCTCTTCGACCTTTTGCCGTTCCACCATTTGTGTGATCAATTTCTCCAGTTCTGAATTCGTTTTTGGAACATCGGTTAACTGTTTGATTTAAAGAAATTTTTGAATAATACAGACCTGCTTCAGCTTTTTCGACTTCTTTTCGCTCCTCTTCCGTCATTTCTTCCGGTTCATCTCTCTTGCTGAACATAGCCACATCGTCTGGATCCAGTTGATTGTAAAGTAGTTCAAAGCTTTCTTGTGAACTTGATGCAACGACCATCCCTTCATCGTCATCTTTAATATCCAAGTCGGATTTTGATTTTGGTATTAGTGGCGCCGATGATGTTGAAGGCTCCTCACTGTCATTTGGATCAATATCACTTGTAATTGCAAATTCCACTTTTTTCTCTTTTTGTTTCTTGGATTTTTTCTTTTCTCTCTTCTCTTTTTGTACTTTATCTTTCTCTGACTCTGTCTCTGCTTCCGTGGTTGTCTCCTCTTCTTTCTTCTTCTCAGCTATTTCTTCGATTATTGCCTCATTTTGTTTCTTATCCTCTTGCTTAGTTTCGGCTTCTTTGTCATCGTTGCTCTCTGCAGTCGGTTGCTTATCTTGAGTATTTTTCGGCGGAAATAACACTGACAAAGGTATACTGGTACTACCTCTTGGTGGAATCTTTTGATCTCTTCGTTTCTTGCCAAACAACTTTTCCGTGATGACGGCAGCCGTTTTGAACACAAACTCCTCCAAATAATCTTCATACATTTTCGATAGTAAAATGAAGTACATGAGCACGGCACAGATTAATGCCAAACCACCACATGATCCATGAGCCATTGAAACCAGCACAAAACCCATCGTAATGGGAAACTTTTGAATGGCTGGCAAAACGATTCCGGCTGAAATTGGCCATTGCGTTAACTTGAACAAGAATTGATGGGCCACATTTCCACACAGTGCAATTGACAGCCATAAACCATAAGTCAGCAGATTTAATGCAGCCAAAGCTGCACCGTGAATTATAACAGAAATAACGACGGAGTGCTTGAATTGATCAGGATCCGGCAGTGTTTTACTCCATTTGATTACATGCACGGCCAAACGGGATGCTATTCAAAAATTGAAAAATAAAACAAATCATCAATGATTGAAGTAGATAAGGCTTTAAATAAGCAATGCCAAACAATTATGAATAATTCAAGAGAAAAATGAGTGTTTCATTTCTCACGACATAATCAATAACTAAGCATCTTCGCTACCTGTGATGATAAAGAATGTTTGTCCAGCCAATAGTGCCGCATTGAGTGACCCACATTTGAAAATCTCTTTTTCGGGCGTGATTTTGATTTGATATTTGAATGCAAGAAGTAAAATTGCTACGATGTGGGCTGGTATCCAATGCGAGAACTGCAAGAAGATCCTCGAAGCCGTTTGTCCGAATGAGTTTGTCGCTGAGATGGTGTAATGACATTGTGGATCCAGATACAAATCAACTGTGAGTGGAAACAGTGTTGTGTTGTATCCGGCTGGTCTTGTGATCGGTGTGTTGACATAGAATGGAGTCTGTATCTTTTCACTGTAATGGACAAAATTTAGGTTATTAAAATCTCCCCACTTTTTCCATTCTTCTTCTTTGATAATTGCAAATACAATATTTGAAATACTCACGTGAAATAGTGGTATCGTTCAAAGCCTCTTGTCCACGGTACACAAACTTTGGCCACCACATGATATTTCGGGTTTTGGCAATGTGCTTCAATGTGAAGCTGTATGGATTGATATGATTCGTCTAGACCGGGAAAACTGATTCGATAGGCTGCCGCACCCATCATCGTTCTATCGGTTAGCTGGTGTGTTCGGTATGAATACCATGAAGGCATTTCATAGGTAATGTGTCGCTCGGTGGCCGAATGAATGTCAACATTTATCTGAACGGGCTCTTTGGTGGGGAACAAAACCAAAAGAACGTGCGACCACTGCGGGAAATCGTCTTGAATCTTATGCAAATCAAGAGTTAGCACTCGGCGGCCGTATCGCTTTGAAGGAAGCTTCTTCACATAATGTGTCAAAGAGTGTCCAACCGAACTGAAATTGACAAAATGAAAAGAAAAATCAATAAAACTTACTTATCAAAATTGTAAGCGATTTCGAGCGAAATTGAAAGAAAAATCGATTGAAAAACCCTTACCAATATCGCTGGTGTTCGTGTATATCAACAGCGTTGCAACCGAAAACCCAATCGTCCGTATCTACGTTAATCGCTTCGACATTGAGGAACTGTTGGGAAAGAAACACATTTTAATTGAGTTCAATTGCACTTGTAAACGTTTTTGACAAGGTCGCCAACCTGATAGTGGTCAAAACGATTCAATGGAATCATTTGAACATATGTTTGATTCAGACCGCCTTTAAATTGTTGGAAGAATACGCGTCGATTATCCTCCACCCATTCGCCCATTTGATCGAAGCTTTTAAATAGCGTCACTTCGCGCTTGTCCTTTGGCAAAATTGTGTCTTGCTGCGGAATGAAATCCAAACAATCAATTTCGGTGAATATTTTATGACGATTTCAACAAAGTAGAATAGAAATCGGTGCCTCGATGAGAAAATGGTAGAAAATTCAATATTCCAATTGAGGTATAGACGATTCAAATTTAAATAGAGATCCGAAAATGAAATTCCCGTCTCAATTATTGTATTGAATAAATGATGAGAATCAAAACATATTGGAAAAAGGCCAATTCATACCGTGATATAATGTTTGGCGTTGGCGAGTCGAATGGATTTTTTGGGATGAAAAACATTGTCGTGTATGCGGTTCCGGTGTGACACGGGTAGAATGATACTGTACAAGAAGCGATTGATGACAAGAACTTGTTGGAGACACCAAACGGATGCAAGATGATCGGTTGTCAACCAAACGCCCGGAATGCAGCTAGACATCATATGAATATCGCTGAACTGAGATGTTGTCAATCCTTCGGGCACCAACAAATCCCGGCTACCGCCGCCAATCGTTATGAATAATATATCTTCGAGAAAATATCGTTTCGCATGGCCGGCGCTCACTTCAGTTTGTTCCACTGAACTTGAATCGAATTCCACAAAATTGCTTGCATTACAACATGTGCTCGTTAAGTTGGTTATTGCATTTGGATTGGGTGGACGGTGTTCAAGCCAAAATTTGTTCGACTTGCGATAGAATGCCTCGGTGTAGAAATCAATGTTGAGAACGGGTTTATCGATTGGTGCAGCAATCGCAATCACTGTATTCACGCGTTTTGCCGTTTCTCTATTCATCAATACCGATTGAGCCACTTTCCCACCCTAAATAAAAATGTAACCAAACAGAAACCGATTGAGTTACTTTGGCATTAATATTTGAATAATTCGTTTTCAATTTTTACCATTGAATGGGCTACAATCGATACACTTGTCGGTGGATTGGGTAAATCCTTGTATAAATTCAAAACGGCTTTGATACACAGCTCCAAGTAAATGCTTTGGTCGTCAAGTACACCTCCGAACAATGCCGAGAATTCCTCATCAAAGTCAACTGCAAACGAAGATAGAACGAAGTGTTCGATGTGTAAAAATAAATCAATAAATGAACATTGGACATGTGTATCGTGTGGATAAAACTACGATATATGGAAATTGTTCAAGCTTGAACATCCGAATGATTGAAGGTTTATTCAAAATTAATGCCCAACTTTTTGTTGTAAATTACCTGTAAAATAATCCAGATGCTTGAGCCAACTTTCTTCAAGGCCTTTACGCAATGCGACCGAAGCAAATGATCTGGCCTGTTTGTACGATCCACCATTGCCTGGAACGAAAATCACAGGCGCTCCATTGAACTGCATATTCCGGGCATTTTCAGTTAATCGTCCTTCCGAATATGCAAACAGATTGTACTTTGGGAATTTCTCATTCTCACGGAAATGAATTTTCTGTTGAGAAAAATTAAACGACAAAAAATCCAAATCGATAAACTATTTTCATTGATGGGTAATCAGAATTGCGCCTGAAATCACAGCTGAATCTGAAGCCAGGATTCACAACACATGCGATTAACCCCATGAATTATTATTTATTTTGGATAGAAACCGATAATACGTCAAGTGGTCTACAATTTACGATTTAGTGTTGAGCTCAATATTCGTATTTATCTATCGCTTCGACGAGCGGGCGAGCCATCAGGTGCATTTGCTCCCATGATGAATAACTTATGAAAGAGTTAATTTGTTCGAATTTTCGTCGTGCTGTTCGGTTAGTATTTATCCCCGTTCATACCAATGTCATTGAATTGAATGGAAAGTGAAACCGTTCTCAATACGAAATTTGGTTGGACAAATGTCCGTATCGTATGACTTTGTTCCTTCAAATTAAAATTGAGCTTTTTAATTGGGCGGCAACAAAATACAACTTTTTTTTTAAAACTTAGCTATTAAACTGTCCGTCTCAACCAATAGATGTATTGATTCAAGTTTTATAGGACAATCGATTGAAAACTATGTCCAACATTTTATGGATGAGAAGTATTTCATATCAATTCATTTATGTTTTGATAAATCGAAGAAAAAAAACGATCGATTGATAATGATTATATTCAGTGCCGAAGTATCCACAGGAATTATTTGTTTTAAATTTTAGTCGATGTTCCTACGAGGTTTCGAGCAATGCTTTGGCGTGACTATTTTTTGGTCGTAAGAAGATTCAAATTTTGGAATACTGCCATATTGAAATGACGCAAAGAATAATGATGCGAACGGTCGAATTGAGTTATTAATATATATTATTTCACTTCGTTTAGAAAATATCATTGAAACATTTCCCTTTTTTAAAGTGCACTTGATTAAACAAGATTCGAGAGAGAGAGAGAGAGAGAGAGAGAAAGACGAGAGAAAAAAGACGAGAAAAAAGAACAAACAAAGAAATCTGGTTGAAAATCAACAATTCGTGGGCGACGAGAATGATGTGTTCTTAACAAATAGAATTACTTTGTGTAAAAAAATGGAAAAATTCAAGCTATTCTACATTCTAATTCCGGTTTTTTTCTTCAAATCACCATCATCTTTATTACCCAATAATTTCATTCCCTAAAGATAGGGAATAATTTTACTATCACGACTTACCACAAATTGCGGATATTCAAACATGTAAGTCATTTCACATTCATTTTTCTCCACCGACGTAATGGTAATTAAGATGCCGTAAAAATAAATTATCAATGCAATTAATGCCGTAACAAGGCACACTTGCTTCGTGTTAACCGACATCTCTTTTTATATGCAAATTTTCACGTAGTTTTATTACGAAAAAAAAATCGTTTGTTTATACGAAATGCACTTAATTAGATAACATCAACATTAGACAGACATTTTAGAATTTTTTCTTTCTTTTCGACTAAATCTCAAGAAAAATATCACTGATTGAATCCAAATTCAACGCACATATAAAGTGTTTGATATTCTTTTTGCTATTGAATAGAGACGATTTTGAAAGAAAATACAATTTTCCAACCAACCGCACGAATGAAACTATCAAGACTGTGCTTTCATGTTCACGTTTGGAACGTTTGAAGTCTCAACACAAAATTCTATCTATGCTTGGTTCAATGCCAAACTGTCAGAGTGTTGTTGTATGTTTTTGTATGTATCTTTGTTTTGGATTCACTACTACGCCTAAATTGTGTCGCACAATGTGCGCGCCCATTCGATGTGTGTGTGCAGCTGTCAAAACCCAGCTGAGGCATATTTCTCAGTTTTGTTGGTGTGATTCAAAGCGGATGGACTGTGAAAATATTGTCAACGAATATGGGAGATATTCAAGAGTCTTGTGAAATTGATGATGCCATCAATAAATTATTGATAGACCATATAAGAGAACGACCGACATTATACTACAACGACAAATATACGAAATCGGACGAACAGCACTGGGATGAAATACAGAAAAGCACCGGAATTCAAAGTTAGTTAGACTCGTTGAAACTTTAAAGTTAACTATAAAAGATATAAGCGGCCCAAAGTTCTATTCAAACGCATTTCTTCATCATTTAATTATTGATTCGTTTCTATTTATGAATTTATATTTGTTTCCATTTTCAAATTTCGATTTTCAATTTTTTTTTTCTCCAGAGTCTTGGTTGAAGAAGCGTTGGAAAACGATTCGAAATGATCATCGAACAATTACCATTTACAATCACATGCACAGTAAGAAAGTGCCGCCGCATAAAATGGCAAAAGAACTGGATTTCTTCCTGGTTGATCTCAACGGAGCAAAGGACATGGATTTTGAAGAAATAAAACGTCCGAAAAAAGAGTCATTTTTCATCACCCAGGAGATGCTTGATAATTGTGATATCAACGAAAGTGTAACTATTGATTCGATATCAATGCCAAAGTTTCTGCAAAATAAACCAACAATTGCTGATGCAAAGACTGAACTTTCGACTGCACAAACTCAGCCGCCCAAGGAAAACACTTTACCGAAAGTGGTTCCTCTAAATGTTTTAGACCAATCGACGAATAAGTCAGAAAAACCCACCGAAAATGACAAAAAATCAGCAAATTCATCCACAAACGAAAGATGTGAGGATACAATATTTGGCGAGCTAGTAGTGGCTATGCTCATGAAAATGAAGCCAGAGGAGAAAAAACAGGCCAAAAAAGAAATCATGAACATTTTATTGTAAGCATTTCATTCATTTGTAAACAAATAATTAAAAAAAAAACGAACCGAAATCCAAATCGCATTGTTTTGATTGCAACACAAAGTTTCAAAATGTAAAGAAACTGTCAGTGATGCCAACCCAATGGATTGAGTTTGGTATTTGCGTTCTCTTATGTGACAGCTGTCACATTGAAACCATGTGTTTTTCTTCGACCTCTTAAATATAAACGAAAACAAAATCATTTTCGTTCGAATTACACGTGTTTTTGCCCAGTTTTTAGTGAACGAGAACCGAAAACACAATCAAAATGGTTCGGCACAATAATCAGCTGCCGGACAATTTGCCGCAGTTGCAAAATTTGATAAAACGAGATCCAGCCTCGTACAAAGAGGAGTTTATGCAACAATACAATCATTATTTGAGTTTGTTGGAGGTGTTTCGCTTGAATCCAGGACAGGAAAACAAAAGTTTGGATGAACTGGTGATGTTTATTGCACAGGTAAGCACCAATCCAGCTAAATTCAATGAATGAATAGGATTTAAGACGATGAAAGAAATGTAAACATAACCCAACTTCCGTGCACATTTCAGGTGGCACAATGCTACGTCGAAGAATTGGTCACATTCCCGCAACAATTGGTCGATCTGCTGAAAACACAGTCAACCACCCTCGATCAAAATATGCGAAACAGTTTTTGCCGTGCTTTGATTTTGCTGCGTAACAAGAATTTGATTCCAGCTTTGGATTTGCTTGAGTTATTTTTCCAATTGTTGCGATGCCCCGACAAATCGTTGCGAGCCTTTTTGGAGAATCACATCATTACGGACATCAAAAACATGAATGCCAAACACAAAGATATGAAATTGAATTCCACGCTACAGAATTTCATGTACACAATGTTGAAAGATTCGAATCCAAAGGCAGCCAAAATGTCCATTGACATCATGATTGAGCTGTACAAAAAGAACATTTGGAACGATACAAAAACGGTGAATGTTATCGCGAATGTGGGTTGCTTTTCGAAGATCACCAAAGTCATGGTGGCATCATTGAAATTCTTTTTGGGCACTGATCCGGATGAAAAAGATCCAAATGATTCCGACAGCGACAACGAGCCGGACTTGAAGAGTGCCATACTTGCAAACCGTGTCAACAAAAAGACAAAGAAACGTCAAAAACAATTGGCCAACATCAAGAAACAAGTGACTAAGGTGAAAAAGAAGAAAACCGCCGTTGCATCTTTCAATTTTTCGGCTGTGCACTTAATTCATAATCCACAAGGAATGGCTGAGAATCTGTTCAAACAGTTACAATCGCAAAACGAGCGTTTCGAAGTTAAATTGATGCACTTGGATGTGATATCACGATTGATTGGTATACATGACCTGTTCTTGTTCTCATTTTATCCATATATTACACGATTCTTGCAGCCACATCAACGCCAAGTCACTCGAGTCCTTCAGTTTGCCGCGCAAGCATCGCACGAGTTGGTTCCCGGCGAAGTGATCGAGCCGATTTTAAAGACAATTGCCAATAATTTCATCACCGAACGTAATTCCACCGATGTCATGGCAATTGGTTTGAATGCCGTTCGGGCAATTTGTAGTCGTTGCATGTTGGCGATGGGCGAAGATTTGCTACGCGATTTGGTTTTGTACAAAGCATACAAGGAAAAGAGTGTGATGATGGCAGCTCGGTCATTGATTACGCTTTATCGAGAACAAATTCCAGCTTTGCTACATAAAAAAGATCGCGGTCGCACAACAGAGGCACAAGCTGAAATGGCGCCAAAACAATACGGTGCTTCAGTTGCTCATGATAATGTGCCAGGCGCTGAAGCACTGTTGAAATCAGCCAAATCAGTGTCGGTTAAAGAGGAGGACGACTCGGATTCCGACAGTTGGGTGGATGTCAATGAAAGTGGCGATGAGATTAATATCAGCGACAGCGACAGCGAAGAAGAGTCGGACAATGAAGAAGCCGGAAGTGATGTGGAAGACGAAGATGGTGATGATGAAGAGGTTGACGATGAAGAAAGCGACGTTGAAGATGAAGAGGATGATGAAGACGAAAGTGAGCAAGAGTCTGAAGAGGAGGAGGAAATTCAAGTCGACAAATCCGAACAAGCCGAAAAATCATCTCAGAACAAGAAGAAATCAAAGGCCACATCGAATGGAAAATCAGTTGAAGACGTATCCAATGCTGATAAGTCCGTCAAAACACTACAAGCAAAGGAAGCCGCCCAAGAAATAGCTCTGACTCGCATTTTCACCGACGATGATTTCAAACGGATCGATGCTGAGAATATCAAAAAGCACGTTTCGAATGCTCGCAAGCGACCACTCGAATCCGAACAGACCGAGTATGTTAAATTGGATGACATTGAAATGATTTACAAGAAACGACGAACAGACAAAGCATCCCGTTTGGAGACTGTAATGAGAGGCCGTGAAGATCGGGAAAAGTATGGGTATCGCGACAAACGTAAGAATATCCACTGCTCAAAGACAAACACCGAAAAGAAGAAGAAGAAAAACTTTGGCATGATGCGAGTTAAAGCCAGATCAAAGGTGAAGAAATCGTTTAAAGAAAAGCAACAGTCCATGCGAAAACATTTGCTTAAACAAAAGAAAATGAAATAAATATACATTTTGTAGGTTTTTTTTCTTTGTTGTTTTTATGGTATTACTTTTATCAAATATGAAAATTGAATAAAATAATTTTTTTTCTTGATCTATTGAAATCAGTTGTTCGTTGGTTTGAATTGAAAGTTTATCACTAGGTTTTTTGATATGTATAAAATGAAACATTGATCGTTCATCTTCAGCAAAGGTAATTTAAATGAAAAACGAGGTGAGATTAAACGCAGTTCTTTATCTCTTGAAATTTATTGACTGTGACAGAAGCTGAATGTGGCTGTTCCAAAACAAATGCCGAGAAAAATGAGACGGAAATCGGATCCGAGGAGATGACTGTGGTACTTACGATCAAAGGTCAAAAAGACATTCTAACACATTCAAAAGTCAACACAAAGCCAAAGGTCAACCCAACCAACGAAAAAAAAAACATGTGAAAACATTGCAATAACATCAGGGCAAAATGGAATAAAAACACATTTTTCGAACCTTCTCTTTGTTTTATTTTAAGGATTTATTTTTATCAAATATGGAAATCGGTTGAAATTATTTGTTTCCTTATTTATTGAAAATCTGTTGTTTGATACATCCATTGGAATTAGAATTGGATTTATGAGAGAAATTGGACTTCGAGAAGAGTGCAGTGGATGTGATCAAAGAAAACGCATTATCTTTGCTTGAAGCCGTACTTCTTTCTTTCGTAGAACAAGTCTGTTTTGGAGCTACCAAGGTTGACAATCTTTGGGCAACCATCTCTCTGAAAATTGAAATTGAAAATTGGTTTTTAGATGGAATTAAAAGAATTTTTTTCGATCGATGGAAAAATAAAAATCCAACAGTGTTCATCGAAAATGCTTACATCTTTCTCGAGAATGGTGCATTCCTTGCAGTAGTAAGCGTCTGAAACACCAGGGCCGCCGCAAATTACACATCTTCCTTGGTACGAACCATAGTTGCATTCATCACAAATACGAACCAAAGTGCATGGTCGCACGTATGAATCGCAAATAACGCATTTGCCGTCATCTTTTTCGCACAAACGACCAATGGCTACGGAAAAAGAACGAACAAAAATTGAATGAAAAAATATAGAAATTTCTGTGGAAACGTTTTAGAACGTATAACCTATTTTGCAGTTGACAATTTTGTTTCCTGAAATATGTTTATTTTAATACTCACCAACACCTGGTTGTTTACGGCAGAAAATCAAATCTGGATGATGTTTTGCCATTTTGTTCCAATGGATTGCCCGTCGAAAATCGTCTAATTTCTATCTGTTTTCAAACAATGAATTTCGGAGTGATAGCAATCCACGGCGTCTAAATCACAAATGATGTATTTTTGACAGACCGACTGTCATTTGCCGACTGCTTAGTGTTGCCACAGCAACAAGGGGTTATTGAAAATTTATAAACAAATGCAGCATTGGTTTCAACGTACGGTTTTGAATATGCTTCCAAAAGGTGAAAGAATAAATGCGATTTTTTCATTGACAACCATAAACTTTGAATTGAATGAAACACCGTCTTTATTTTCCGTCAATTTATTCTAGTTTTTTCTCGGTCATTTTTCACTTATTGCATTCAAAGTGTGCATCACACAATAGCGACAATTGGAATGTACCATTTGAGTTGAGATGAATTAAATTAAAATCGACAAACGATGTCGATAAAAGTCTTAAAATAATATTTTAAGCCTAGAATAGATTGAGAATGAGAATGAGATTGTTGTTTCACCGTTGTTTGAAACCATATTTCTTCCTTTCGTAGAATAAGTCCGTTTTTGAACTACCCAGATTAACAATTTTCGGGCAACCGTCTCTCTGCAAAAATGGAAAAAGTTCAATGAAAACTTTGGAAAATCATGAAAAACACATGAAACAATTTCAAGAGAAATTAGGAGAAAAAGTACAGCTTCGTGAATAAATTGTGAAGAACCCTTACATCTTTCTTAAGCATCTGAAACACCTGGACCGCCACAAATTGCACATCTACCCTGATACGAACCATAGTTGCATTCATCACAAATCCGCACCAAAGTGCACGGTCGAACGTACGAATCACAGATAACACATTTTCCATCGCATTTCTCACACAAACGGCCAATTGCTGCAAGCAAAACAGAAAGTAAAAATGGTCAATACAAGAAACGAATCACAATTTTCCATCTAAAAATATGAAGAATGTCGAAATTGTTTAGCTTACCAACACCTGGCTGCTTGCGACAGAAAATCAAATCTGGGTGATGTTTTGCCATTTTGGTTCAATCACAGAGAAGGGCAATGTTTCTGTCCAAACTCAATCAGAATAATTGTGAGCGATGAAAATTGCCGGCTTCAAAATTCGCACAAGTCAATTCTGGTTGACAATTCCATTGACATGCGGAGTGTTGCCACAGTAAAGAAAAGTCTCTTGCGGCGAACGAAGCCCGAAAAGCCTATTTAGAACATACGTTCACAAGTGAGATTCAAATATATTCGAGTGAAAATATGAAATAACTTGTTATGTTAAACAACGGATGGAAAGAATGAAATACAATATTTTGAAGGTTTTGATCTTTGACATTCATGGCAGAGTATTCAAATGATAGAAGTTTGAAAATTCTAAACTAAATTAGGCTAAATTATTCAAATGATCGCTTCTAGATGCCAAAAATTATCAGAAACTAACTGTACCTAATCAGAAACTGATGTATACTTCATTGTAAATTGACTAAGCGATTGCAAAACGAAAGCTAAAAAGTAGCTCCAATGAATGAATTAAAATCCCTCCTGTGCCCTGAAAACATTTCATGATCTGGCATTCGAGTTCAAATTTCGTTTCAAAAGCTTGCAACTGATACATTTGATTGGCAAATACTAATCAAATCACGACAATGCAATATGTTTAAAACATATACACATATTATCATCCGCATAACAAATATTTAATTCGAATTCACATGACAGTCATGCGAATAATTTGTTGGATATGAAATCTGATTTAGCGAATGAACGAAAGTCAACTGTTCAAACTTCGTTAGTGATGTAATTTGTTAAAACAATTCTTGTTACATATTAGCCGTGCACTGTGTACAGCTACACATATTTGGTACGTTGGCATTTGGCAGTTGTCGGTTCGCGCGTCTAATTCAAAGCACGATGTGTGCACGATGGTTTGTGCGTTGCAGTGGTTTGTGTGGAATGGATTTTGTTGGCATATAAATCTGTATAATCTACAATATTTTCAGCAATAATGATAACACCCTCTCTCCCTCCAAAACATGATCCCTCATCGAAGCATACACACAGCAGTATACGACATGGTGTCATCAAAATGTCGACCTATTAAATTTCGGTGAATCCAACATACTGGCGGTTACTGCATAGCGGCATATCGGCCCGGGGATAAGGAGAGCATGCAACGGAGCGAGAGACAATGAAGAATTCACCGTGTATTACATTTGTTTATTATGAAAGTTAATTTGTATAACCCTTTTTCGTTTTGACTAATTTCGATTAGGAGCCATGAAATATTCATAAATTCATTTCTCTTATATATGCTACATGCTTACGTGTTACCGTCAAAATGTACCCGTGCTTGCTCCAAATGAATATGCTCTCGGTACGCGCTGAAAAATGTTTTTTTCTTGTTTCGTTGCCAACTGATACGCACTGAGAACAATAGACAGATACCAAAAACCTTCACCAATCTACGGCAAAACTTTCTATGAAACTCCTGATGTGCCGCTCAAATCCGTTGGAAACACAAAAAAATGAACGAAACCACAGAAAATGAGCTGAAAAGTTGAAAGTGGTTTTTCCATAACTGGTTCCGTTTTGATGTTGGAAAAATTCAAGTTTCTACCTAATGAGTCAGGAATTATGGGCATTAAATAAAATTATGGGCATTTGTGAAGACCGATAATAAACGAAGACATTCATCATCGCCACATTCTTCAATATTATGAAAAAAAAAATATTGCGGAAAATCTCCCAACAAAATGTGTTTGTTTGCATTTAATTACCTCAAGTGACAAAACAGAAAAATTTCCCCTCATTCAATTTTAAGCATACAATAATTGTGTGGTTATATTGGCGCATTCTTTCGAGTGGAAAATCTAAATAGCACAATTTTCTTTTGATTCATCATCACAAAAGCAATATAATTATTTGGAACAATTAAAAAATAAAATATGAACAAAAAACACTCTCGACTGAATTCATCATATATGTCACAAATTGCAGTCCCCTTTCCATACAAATTGGTAAAGTGTTTGTTATTTACAAGGTACTTGTGATTTCTTCTTTGTTCGTCGTAACGTTTTTGCATTGGTTATTTATGTTATTCCATAATTGATGCTGTTTGTTAAAACATGAATGAATAACATAACCGAATGAAATAAGCGTGAAGAAATGACGATGGATTTCAATTTTGAGCACTTAAACATTGGGCTACATCAGACAACACCAAAAGTCGGTCTTTGTTCGCACATTGGCTCAATTCATACACTTGACAGTTCTCTGACTGCAGCACGAGAATCTAACCAAAACAAATATTTAGTGGTAAAAATTTATAGAAAAAAGGTTGAAAATGAATCGATTGCCGGTAATTTTTGCGAAATTTTCTAGTCTGCAACAGATTCAGAGTAAGTGTTTTACTCAGAGTTTAGTGAATCATGTCGATAATTCATAAAATTTTCAATCATTTTTGTATGTTACAGATGTATCGAGCAGAGAGATTCATATAACCGGTGTACAAATGGATATTTTGTGGCGAAGGAATCGACGATTGCCGAAAAATCCAACATCGTCTGGACCATTGACTGATCTGCCCGATTACACTTATATGGATGGCCGACCAACGCCATTGGGTGTAAGTCAATTATTATTGATTTGATGAGCTGGATCATTGAATTATCGAAATGTGTGCATGAAAGTAATCAAATCAATGCTCTTCGTTATCCATAGATTCGACAAAAGGCACGTTTGGATCGTCAACGTGAATTGGCGGCAAAAATTGTGAAAAACATCAAGGAACTTGATGATGCCAAACAAATGTATCAACAAAAGCTGGTGGCAACCGAAGAAGAGAGAAAGGCAATTCTAGAGAGCAAACTAAAGCCAAAAGGAAGATTTCTAGCGAAGAAAGACTAATTTTTAGCTTATTCTCTGAGGTTTATTTTGTAGAAAGTGTTCGATGAATAAAAGTTTACTGTTAAAAAAAATAAAAACACCTCATTCGACTTCATTCTGGTTGCATGATGTACGGTGTAAATTAAAGTAGAAAAAAACTTCATTAAAAACTAACGTAATTTCAAGGGATAATTAAATGTTTTTGTTCCTTCTTTCCTGAAACGTTGTCGAACCTTTTTACTATGATTAAAAAGAAAGGCAATCTATGTGGGGCGACACCGTTTATATCTGTTCAGGTTTTTTTTGTACAGTTGTGCACTTGCTTTGGTGTACCTGTATGTGTGTATGCTGGTGCTCGCATACATGAATCACACGAATTTAATTTTTGTCAAACAGTATCTGAAGCGAGCGCGAGCAAGGCTTTATTTATTATTATTTTTTTTCTTTCTCTCTCTGTGTGTGCACGAGTACATACAGCGTTGTTATGAGGCAAGTGTGCACCGGATTTTATGAGAAAACCTTAATTTCGCTTCATAATTAGTTATTAATTATGCATGTACGCAATCATAATAAAGGAACAATTCTCATTTTTCGGTGCTACTCCGTAGCCATACGAACGAATAATTATTGGCATTATTATGATTATAAACTGTACGGAGATGCGACGATGAGCTGTCACTGATGAACGAGACAAAGACAGCGACAAAATGAGCGAGCGGGTGACTGGCTGTGTGTATGTGGTAACGAAAGGGTTGACTGCGACATGAATCTTGTTGCTCGTCAAGCGGAGAGAGTGAGAGAGAGAGATGACACAAACGCAACAATTTACGCTTCGCACAAATTATGGAAAATGTGCGTCAAATTTCATAACATATAAACATATTTAATGCCTTGTGTTGCCCTTTTTTCCATCATTCCTACTACTCGACATAATGCACAGTTTACGAAATATGCCGTTTTAAATGGGTTACAACACCAAAAAGCGATAAATTTGCCAGTGTTTTTAATACAATGTCTCATTTTTTCCCATGGCGAATTGACTGTGCGTTTGTTAATTATTCAACAGATAATTTGGACTTTTTTTTTTCCAACCAAAGATAACTACGGTTCGAATTACATTGTAAAATTGAGAAAAGACGCCAAATTTTGGCTTCGCATTATTTCCGTTAGAGGATTTTAACTTTAAATACAAGTCTATTTTCTATTTTTGGTTTAATGAAAAAGTTTTGAATTTCTCTCTGCAACCACAAATAAAAACTTGATCCATGATTGAACGACGTACGAATATTTTTAATGGACTTGATTTTTCTCGATAAATTGTCACACATCCAATCTGCCTCTCGCTCACCTTTCAATCAATCGCGGATTTTTGTTAAAAATATCTCTCTGTCTTTGACAAAATACAAAGTGTTTGGCATTTGAAAATATAACGGAATTCAGCCTAAACAAATCAGCCAATGATTGACATGTTAGACAAAAAGAAAGCTGTAGTGAGAATCACTTTGTATTTGTCTCGTTAGTTGAGTGTGTTTGTGTGTGTGTTCTAATTTTTTTTTATCGGCAGAGTTGCGACAGCTTCGAAAATTAGTCGTGATGGATGGATAAGTGCAAAATCAATCACTTCGTCAACTGCTTCGTGGCGAATATTCGATTGGATCAAGCGCGTCTGAACGAGAGCGAGAGAAAGAAAAAAAAAACCTCCGCTTTTCCGGCCATGTTGTATTGCCAAAACTCAATCTGAATTTTCTATTTCAATCAATCTACGGTGAGCCCACATCATTTAACAAAAAGCTATGAATGTAGAGAAATTTAGTTGTAAACTGTTCAAACACAAAAAAAGATAACCAGCAACGAAAAGTGAAACATACTGATGCAGCCCATTCCGGCACAGCTATGCCACTTTATCGGTCGTAAGCAGAATACAAAATTTTAAAACCGGATACTGATACGGTGCAATTTTGCGGTTGTTGTTGTTGTTTTCGAGAATGCACGTAATTCGTTTATTTTTGTGTCGCAATCGTAACACGCGTTTATTGGCAGACGGGAATAAATAAATGCAATATAACCCATTACGTATGCAAGCGTATCCATCGATTTGATGGGCTTTTCGTGAAAAACCATGTACAAGTTTTCGTTTCATTTTTTTTTCTGTATTTTTCGTAGATTTGATTGCTTGTTCGGTCGTTTGATGCTGTTGCTGTTGATGTGTTTTTTGTTTTCGTTTGCAGCACCGCACACCACACCACTTAAAGTCTATCGATAAAAATTTCTGCGAGAGACACGAGACACTTAAATTGAACATGGAGAGAAAAATAACTGGGCAATGCAATTTTGTGTCGCAATTTCGTGTCCAGTCTCATTGCCCGGATGGAGTGAAATGCGTGAGCCATTTCAAAATAGCCCAATAGAAAAATGTGAGCATTGAAAATGTATTCTGATACAAAACACCATTAGATACTTATTTCTCCGGGATATATTCATGAACAATGTGTGTGTGTGTGTGTGCCTCAGGTATAGTATATGTCTTTTTTTCGGTGCGATACTTTTGTTTGCCCACTCGCGTGAGTGACATTTGTGGCATTTGATCGTATTCGATTAAAAGTCCATGTCAGTTCGGGAGTGAAGCTTGATAGGCAAATCGCTTTTATATCCCTTTATTTTTTTCCTTTTGGCACACATAGCTTCCGTGGTGGGGCTGAAAATAGCGAAGCATTTTTCTAAAAAGAATTTCGAAATATGATCAAACAACGAGTGACGAGTCCATCAAATGGTTTTTCACTTTGATTGAAATGTTTCACGAGAATGGTTTTCTGTTGACGAGTCGAAACCATTTTCGATGGCAAAATTACAATTTTATAGCATTCAAAGCGCACGATTTTCCTAATTATGTCTGCACATCGAAATATAAAATTTTGATTTTGTTATTTCCATCAAACCGAATATTCGATGCCATTTTCCAAACTAAAAACTTACGCTAACTTACATAGCACCGACCAATTTCGATTTGCACACAGTAAATTTTGTATAAATTAAGCCTCGAACCCCATCATTTCTCATCATTAGTTTGTTGCCGCATTTTCTGACTCGCCTCACAATCGACAACTGCAGAACTATAATCATTATGAGCGCAAAAATTGCATTAAACAAAACTGCAACAGCACGTTAGCCAATTATAACACTTTCTAAATATTGAAACACGATACTCTGCAATCCTGCTGAATAAATTACTGCAATGTCTGCACTAATATTTTGCATTTCGAATAGCCGAAATAACATTTGATTTTTGGGGCCGTAATATGTCTCTGCTTCAAAACGATGGCGTTCTCATTAGCAACGCTCCGAATGATATACAAAACATAATCAGTGGCACACATGTTACGGTGTCCATGTGATTTATTCAACACCCTCATCGTCGCCAAAAAAAAACACACACACACATTAAGTTAACACAAATCCATCGGCCGAATTTTGAATTAATAAAACCCCATCGGAAATCATTTCGGAAAACTATTTTTTGAAATGCTATGATTTTTTTTTCTCTCTGACGCAACGCAGACGAACCAAACGATAATGAATCGAATAATACGAGTGTTCACACGTTTATCTCTTGGGTGATATGCAAAATTCAAAAGCCGATTGCCTGTTTTTTTGAGCCGAAAATGAAAAAAGAAAATGTTCAGTCATCTATTGGTCAGTTTAGAACCACCAGAATATGATCGAAAATATTCCGGTCGCCGCTGGATTTTTATAATTAATTTGGATTTTCCTTTCGACAGGAATTTACATACACTGAAAGAGGTTGCCATACGCCTCACACTACACCGAAACTCATTAAAAAATTATGAAGAGGAAAAGTTTCACACAAAATGTGTTTCATTCCGCTGTGCGCTCCGAATAATGAGATGACTCATGTTTTGCCATGCAGTTTATGATACAAATTATGAAGGTTTTCTAATGTTGATATGCAATTCCTTTCAATTGCTATTATTTCCGTTTGTTTCACAAGAAATTAATTATACCATGATATTTTTAATTGATACTTTTCCATTCAAGTATCCGAACGACTGAAAATTCAATTTAAAAAATCATTTTATTCCAACATTTGAGTATTATTATTAGGGTGGTCCAAACTGATTTATCATGGTAAGGTATATGCTCCCAATAGCCAAAAATTAAATTTGGCTCAAAACTAGCTGATTCCCATTTTCAGATTAAAAAAAATGTTAAAATCTAGTGGTCGATAGAGACGTATTTAAAATGGCTGTTTTTGACCTATTTTTCAACATATATATTGATAGAAAACCCATAGGTTATTCAAATCGAATCTGGTGACATATCATTTTTAAGGTTTTTTAGGACTCTGAACACGAATCCGTTGTCAAAAATTAGCTAATGTTGCTTTTTTAAAAAAGTTTCAGTATAAAACGTGGTTTTTTTAACAAATTCAGCCATGTAGCAAAAATACATGGTTCCAAGTGTACTTTTAACACCGAATTCGAACTCAGCGCCACAAATTACCTTAAGATTGACTATGCTGATGACAAAAAACGAATAGTCTCAGAACCAAAATTTTCTAGTAGCAAAGTTCATTTTTCAAGATGTCTCCGAATGTTTGAAATAAAAAGACACACTTCTCTATAAAAGTCTCAAAAAGGCAGATAAATCTCAATTCATTTCACATTCCAAGTTTTTAGTTTCAACAAATCTTCTGATTGCTCGTTCGTGGCCGTTGATATGAATTTTAGTGTTCTCCAGTGGCCAATCAAAGTGGCTAAAGCAGTCTGCTTGCTCATTTGCTTCTTATTCTGTGTGCATGTGGCGAAGTTTGCGCATTTATTTGTGCTTTAATCTTGTTAAAACATGAAAATATCGTAAAACATCCAATTGAGTCTAGTCGAAAAATGAATTTTTTTACTGTCATTTCTTTGTTTAAAGTGTTGCGCTGTGTCAATTTAATGAGGGTGAGGTTTTTTTTTTCACTGAAAAACATAATGTTCACATTCATAGCGTTTTTTTTCTTCATTTTCGTCCCTCGATTGCAATTATTCTCCGCTAAATGTGAGATGGTAAACGGCAACAGAAATACAAAGCTGAACAAACTCATAATTCATGGAGTTCAGCATTTTGGATGGAGACGAATGAAGGACAAAACATACTGTTAAATCATCAAATTTGAATATGATTTTTAAAATCGTTGACTTTTTTATATCATAAATCTCTGAGTTTTTGCTTCTTCATAAAATACGGTAGGTATTCCAGAAAAAAAAGAGAATGAAAACGTTGATTCGTGTGCGTTTTTTGAAGAAGACAAAAGTTATGGAAGGAGAAATATTCATCCTGCAAAAGTTGATAGGTACTTAAAAATCAGACACCGGAAGCAACAATAGAAATTAGATGTTTGTCGCTTGTTTTTCCGGCTGTTTCCGGTCGTGCATAATTTTCGTCCGGTGCACGACTATCGAGTGGAAACTCTGGAAACATCAATTATACAATGTGCTCACATGGCCATAAAATATTCAGGCGAAGCGAGAAATCACGCGTTTATAAACATGTTGACTTCCCGAAACAGAAATAAGGTTAGTAGCAGAAAATGCGGAAACAAAGTCGAGCAGCAACAGGAAAGGTCACTAAAGCACACACAAAAAAAAAAGATTTGTATGTAAGTTGTATAATATGGGGTGAGAGATTGGGAGCTATTTTTCCATTCACATTAAAAGTTCCATCGTCCGCGGCTGAAATGATAATAATATTAAATGAAGGGCAAGAAGAAAAACTGCAGCGCACGATTCAAATACCATTTTTGAGCAATGGCTTGTTCAATTGATTTTTATTCAAGAAACTATGATTCCATCATTCATCATGTTGCTCTCTCATCAGAACTGATTTATTTATAATATCGGTGTGTACGGTTTTAAATTCATAAATGATACATTAGAAATGGTTCGTAGATATTTCGTACGGACCTTACAGCATAATTAATATTAGAGTGTATTTTATTATTACTTATTGAATTTGGCTTGCTACTTATCTAAATTATTCTCGAGTTGTTTCATCTTTTTTTCATTCGAACTGTGTTGCTCTATTTCATTTCATAATATATGTCATACTAAATAAGAATTTTGAAAGAATTTTTCATTCAAATATTCTAGTCGCTAGTGTTCAATGTTCACTAGACATTACTTTATTAATTACATTTTAGATCTCATTTTTTGAGAGCTGTTGATTTTAATGTTATCGTTGAAAAATCATCATTTATTGAAGCTCAAGTTAAGCAAATACAGTAATTGAGAAACGATATTAGAACGGAAATTTCATGAGGGAGGGTGGAGCCAAGCAATTTTATTGATATATTTCCGATCTGAACAAAAAAAATCTGTAATGCATCTTCAAGACACATTTTATTTACATCGATGAATAGGTTGTGTTCAAATGAAAACTGAACAAAATTTCTGAAGGGATAAAATCAAACGATAATTCTATTGAAAATCCGAAAAAGACTGCTGATTTGACCTTTTAAAATGATTCATAATTTAAAATGAAAATAATTTAAAATAATCTATTGAAAATTCCCTTTTGAACGAACTTTGGTTCAATCGACTAAATGTTTGGATATCCTTTATTTCGGGCGAAGAAGGACATGCAGAAGAGAAAAAGAAATGCCATGTGAAAATCTATAATTTTAAGCTCGATTTTGGGAAAGTTTGTTCGAAGTTGGGAGTCTTTTTTTATATGTATCATTTGAGTTTGAGGTTGTGATTTTCAAATCTAAATATTTACATTTATTGATTGTGTTGTATCGGCGAATAAATAGCAATGAAATGCGAGTGAACAAAGAAAAACTGTGTGATATTTTTCTGAAGAAAGTTTTCATCCACGACTGCTACGGATAATTATATCTAATGGGACGAATGGAGGCATTTTATGACTTTGTTTCGGCAATTCGCTTCTCTCTTCCATTCTTTTCATAATTCTTATTTGATATTTGAGTTCAGAATCGAGGTTGTTTTTCACTCAGCCCGTGTTTTCACTTCAAGTCGTTGTTTTCGGTATTTTTTTTTTATTTCTCAAGAATTATTATGATTCAGTCGAAAGTTTTGTAACAGATAATCACTTTGAGTTCGGTTTTCATTCATCCGTAGACCAATTTTCGAACAGCAACAAATCCATTTCACTCGAGAAGAAAGTGTAATTCGTTTAAATTCGATGAATATTTGATGTTGTTATGCGGGTGGCTACGCGCTTTTAACACAATCCGCCGAAGAAAAAAAAAACAGCAATTGAAAGAAGTATTCCGATTTTCGGCCGGTTTCATGTTTTTCAACTTTTTGTTTCGTGTGAATACTATACTTTTTAATATCTATGATTTTCGGTTATTGTGATTTCGGCGTGATATTTTGAGTGACACAAAAAAATAATTTTAAACTTTTTTCCTTGCGTCCAACCCAAAATTAACGGCCGATACAGTGAGAATTGAGCCAGAATAGAACGGAACGACAACAACGAAACGGTAAGAAGAATGGAAAAAAGTATAAAATTTCCTGTTGAAAACACGTGACGCACAGCGAGTAAAGTAGAACTGAAAATCCCTTCAGTAATAATACATATACGAGCCAAATTTGAAATTCATAATGAATTATTTATGAGTTTTTAATGCGCGCCATGAAAATATGCTCTCGCCGCTCTAGCGTTTAGTACGCGAGTATGAGAGAGAACGCATTGTTTTTTTTGCTATTTGGCGCTCTCTCTCTCTCTCTCGCTCGCTCCCAGTTTCTCTATCTTCCTAGTGTTTACGCTACTAATTTGCTGCTGTATGTGCTGTTCTGCAGAGTTGAAAGAAGTATGCGATTTTCGCACAGGGAACAACACGCACATCATCGGATGAATGAAAAACGAGGAAAAAGCGACAACAAATCTTGAGTCAATTAGTTTATTTGCTGCTATTGCTGTTGTTCAAAGAATGAATCTCATGAAAATGTACAGTTTTGACTATTGCTTATTCATACACTCATCAATAACAATATGCATTATTTATTGACATCCTACATCAAAAACTATGACTGGTTTCAAGCAATGTAAATGCACAAAAAGAAAACCGACGACAAAAAAAGGATAACAAAAGAATAGAAACGAAAAAAATCCAATGGATAATCCAATTGAAATGATTATTTACAAGATTTTATTAACTAGGTACTTAATTAGTTATTTGAATAGTAACTTGATGAGAGCTTAGATGATAGTTGGTTTTTTTTTATTCTTCTTCATAATATTGGGAACATGTCATTCATACATTCTTCCCGTTTGTTTTATTTATGGCATCTTCGAATGCACTGCTTGAATTCCGAAACAATTTATTTTAGTATAAAAAGGTGTGTCACACATTGCTATTCATCTACATTTGTTTATGGCCAATTTTGGGATGTCTTAAAACTTAAATTGCACGTATTCGAACCAAAAATCGACCGGCCAATTCAATGACATTAGATTTAGAATTGAATTTCTCTTCACATTCAACTAAATTATTCTCTTTTGGGTACTCAGTTTTGTCAGTGTGGTTGAGTTTAAATTGGTGCAGTTTATTTCTTTTAACTTAGCCACGAACATTTCGAGGTGAGATCAAGACGGAATGAAATTATCATTAGTAACGGAAATTGAAAACCAGAATTGTTTCTTCAAAATCGAAATCAAAGCTCAGAAGTTCCTTCAAAACCACTTCGGTTTAATTCCTTAATCGAAAACCATCTGTCTCATTCATGTTGACCACTTAACACATAATCGCTATTGCCACTTACAAAAATTACCGTTTTGATATCGTCCAATTAACCGATTTAATTTTCCATTTAAATGATATCCAACACACATACACACAAACAAAATTTTCCCGGCCTGATTTGAAAATGTATGCTTTGATGCAAAGTCAATTTGGCTAAAATGATTTAAATGATGTGTTTTTGGGTAGAAAATGTGAAAATTATTGTTCGAGTTGAGGATGAGCGGTTGATTTCGATGGAAATAAATAGAAGAAGAGTGATCGATAGAGAGAAAGGGTGAGAGAAAGAGAGAGAGAGACCGAGAGCAGGTAAGTCAAGTAGGTAATGAATGGGAGGACAATTGAAACTTGAAAACAAACAATCGCATAAATAATCGAGCAGCTTCGTTATATCGATGACGGAACATCAAATAAAATGAGACAGAAGGAGTAAGAGACTAAACGATTGGGGGCTCATAATTAATTGCTTGAAAGAACGACGAAAAATGCGATGGTCTCTTTAAAAATTCATTCATGGGCGATCGGTCGTTTGTGTGTATGTGCAGGTGATAGCATATCATAATGTGACATTCGATATCCTTTAAATCGCGGTTCACAGAGACCACCACGTCAAAAATTATGCATAAAGAAGATCCATTTATCGAATCATTCATTACACGTGTTTACGAAACGCTTTTTTTTTTGTATTCGGACAATTGTCGATTACCGAACGGCATTTTATCGAAAATAATTCGATTGTTTCAAGCTCTCTTCCTCTCTCTATATACCTTTTCTTCTCTGACTCGATTGCCGTTTTTTGTGTGTCTGTTGTGTGCTATCTCGTTATTGTTTTTTTTTTGTTCGTTTCGAGAGGGTTTTTACTTGATTATTGTTTTCTGTTCGCTTACAATTATTCAATATCAATTAAGTGACTCGACTACAAATGATTGGCGGTCAATGTGTGTAAAGTACATGATACTCAAACGATAGTTAAAAACCCGATCCAAAACCAACCGAATAAAAACAATCACCTCGGCAAAATGTTCTTGATGATGATGATGATGAAGAGAAAGAGCAACGAAACGAACATCGTTTATTAATTCAATAATTTAATGACCTCATTTAGTTAGTTTGACTGATACTTTGTTTGTTTCTTCTTGTGTTTGGTTTTATTATTGGGTAACTTATGGTATTCTTCTCTAGCTTTTTAATACATGGGATGCGCATATTACACTATAAGTAGTTTGAGTCTTATACCTATTTTTTACATTAGTGACTGGTAATTATCTGTTGTTTTTTTTTTCTCAAATTTCTTTTTATTTATCTTTCGTTCGCTGGTTGATTTTTCTTATGGCCTATAACTACAAGTAGAATGATAATGCGCTTGGATATTTTACGAGAGGAAAATTCACCAGAAAACATCTTGAGTTTTGAAGCTTTTAAGGATTGTTTTAGTAAATCAGTTCGATTGAAATGCATTATAAAGTTTTGAAATAATCTGTTTCGGCTTAAATAAACCTGAGCGTTTCGTCATTTGAATAGATGTGTTGTTTAAGAGATGTTTAATTTGATTTTTCCCGGCGAAAATTTCGCAACGCATTTTTTATTGTTGTTGAGATTGTTGATATTTTTTTAAAGATTCTCATTCTTGATTATATGAAATTAAAATTGAAAAAAAAAAACAATTAAACCGAGTAGCCAAATCCGGAGTTTGTAACATGCCCATTGCTCAGATGCGTTCCATTCACATTCAGCAAACTGTTTATTGTGTTTGTGCCCATGATCGTATTGTTGCCGTTCATGTTTGTACAGTTGTTACTGTTGGCGTTGGTGTTGTTGCTGCCATTGATGTTGTGGGCATTGTTCGACATCGATGGATTCATGCCGATGCTGAGCTGTCGTGCAATTGCCGCTACGGATGTTACATTTTGGCTGCAGCCGTTGCTGTTGTTACTGCTTTGCGAATTTGTTGGTCAGTGTTGTGCGGCGAATTTCATTCGCTTTTGTTTCTGACGCTGATTGCAGAACCACACGCGCACCACATTCTTCTTCAGTTCCAATTTCTCAGCGATGGCGGCAATCTTCTCGCCGGATGGTCGCGGTTGGACGGCAAAATATGCTTCAAGCGAACGCTTTTCTGGAGCTGCGATTGAAGTCCTTTTTCTTGCAAAAAGAGAGCTATGTAGATTTATGTATTCAATTCAAAAAAAAAGTTGATTAAATTGAAAATCAAAAAAATGAACACAACAAATCAAACCAAAACAAAACATTTTTTTCTTGAAAAAAGACTTCGATATAGATTACAACAAGTTGTTGATTTAATTAAAAAGAATTTTTGATAAATTAATTGAATGGAACACAACAAACCAAAAACAAATCCAAACACAAATACACAAATCGCAACTGAATCTGAAACTGATGAACAAAAAAAAAAAAACAAACAACGGTTGGTGCAAATATACACGGGCACTCAAACGGAAAAATTAAAACAAATGAAGAAGAATCACACCACAGAAAAACTCGTTTACAATGAAAATGTGAACCAAAAAAAAAAAAAACGCAATCGTAAATCACAAACGAAGAACCAACTATGAAATAAAATAATAAGAATCAAATGAAAATCAGTGATCGAATGCAGCAATGAAATGATACAAATGATAAAATTGCAATGGCACACTACATCGAAACTGAACCTACCTTTTCTTTTCACCTATAAAATGAGAAGAGAAAGAAGAAAAACAGTCAATTTCTGCCTAAACTTTGTACTTTATCGGATTATTTTTGGTCTTTTTATTGAAACAAATAAAGAAATTTGCGAGAAAATTGATCAAACTCACCGGCTGGCAAGACACTTGGTGCATCTGGATCACGTCGTTTGTTTTTCGCTTGGGCTTCAGCTTCCTCCAGCCACGCTTGCAGTATCGGTTTCAGTGCAATCATATTGTTGTGGGACAGTGTTAGGCTTTCGAACCTACATATGGTACTTTGTGATAAGGCTCCTACTCCCGGCAATTTCAAATTGGCTAATGCTTTCCCTACGTCAGCTTGTGTGACACCTGCTTTCGAACGAAGATGATGGGAGTTTTCGGTTGAGAATAGATAAGTCACGATTGTTTTTTTTTTTTTTTCATATTTTGTTTGGTTTGATTATTTGTGGTGTAGGATATTTTGAATGGTGACAATTTTACACACGGCGAACACACACAGTTTTTGAGAGCAATGAAACACGCATAAGAAAAAGGGAGAATAAACACAAACAGAGTAACACAAAACTCACAAAACATTTTTTTTTTCTTGGTTAAATATATACAAATACGGAAAGCAGCAGAGTTGCACTTTTTTGGAAATCATTTTTTGCAAAACAAACGTGATTCTCTACAAAGAATTTCATAAGCCTTTTGAACTCAAATCAAGTGATTTGGAAATGATAAATTTTTGTGGTGAATGCTTTTATGAACTTTGTACACAATGTGAACTTAAAAATCGGACAAATTCGCTAAGATATTTGTTTATAAACAGACTTTCCAAACTAAAAACAACCATCAAAAGGTCCAAAAAAGTGCAATATTCCTTTTCAAAAATCACTACAAAACGGCACACACATTGACTTGGTATTAATCAGAAATAATTACCTAATTTGATTCGCCTTTGTTTGAAACGTTCAGCAAATGCCTCTAACTCTCTAGGATCGGTATCGGTGTCGGGATGGAGGCCAGCCGCTGCAACTGCAGCTGCCATTGCGGGATGATGTGAGCTCGGATGTCCATGATGACCTGTCAACGGTAAAAAAGAAAACATTCGCTTAATACATTGCCTCCATGCAAAAAGTGCACGTTCACAAAGTGTGTTCGTTTCCAATGAGATTGGTTAATGATGCGATACAAACTAAGCGCTTTCGATTGAAGAGGATGTAGGTGCGAAAAAAATTATTACCATAATGGTTCATACCAGGCGTGTGGCCACTCAATGGGCCACCGTGATGATGGCTCATCATGTGATTCATACCATGGTACGATCCGTGCAATTGATGGTGCGGCGATGTGATTGACGGTGTCTCTGACATCGGCGTTAGAGTTGTCATTGAGCTGGCTGGATCGAGCATTTCCAATCCGTCCATTGTGTGATGCATCTGTAGCAGAGAAAAGAGAAAAGAGAAAAATCGAAAGAGATCGACTCAATATAAAATTTGAACTGTACTTTGATTATAAAATGTGAAAATATTCTGCCTAAAATTTGTACTTGTGGGGGATGGTGAAATCGGCGAGACGGAATATATTCAACGCAAGTTTGAAGAAGAAATTTAATTAACTGTGCAAACAGTTACGTTCAACGGCAATTGCGTACCGCATGTGTCAATGTGTTTTTTTCTTCTTCTTCTTTTTTTTCATTAGCATTCGCTATTCACGTGCCTGAAACCTGTCTTTATCGCATTCATTTCGGTCGTTTTTTCCCTGCTGCAAGAACTGGTGCAAATTTTCATATTATTATTGAGCAATAAAAATGAAAACATTTGTTCGTGGTCGATTAAATAACCGATGGCTATGTGCATTGTACACACATTTTCAGCCTATCTGCTTCAATCTCTTGGAATTAGCCCGGGCATTTGTCGGTTGACGGGCGGCAGAGTCGACTTACGAACAAATGGCAGGATTAAATTGTAGCTAATGTACTTGCTCTAAGAGATTCGCTCATTCGGTGGTGGTGGTGGGTTGGCATTCGCTGACGACCTTACTCTGGTCGTATGTATGGGTGTGTATTTTTTTATGATTATTAAACGCCGTCGCAACGACACTGGGGAAAGATAAAATAGCTCAAAATCTGAGAATAATTATGTTTGAATTGCAATACAGTGAACAAAAGAGGCTCAAACAAAAGAACTTTGCAGCGGCAGTTTCTTCGATTGAATTTTTTTTCCTGCTGCTTCTGCTGAGTCTGTCGTTCATGAGGGGAAATTGTTGCTGTGAAAAAGAACCTGAATGAATGTTCACAGTAATAATAGGGCAGTGAGATGGAAACACCAACATTTACCACCAATCACTTGTTTACTCAACATTCTGAGCGATGTTTTGCTCGGAGCTACATAAAATACAGCCCGATCCGTAGTCTCTCCTATTCGCAGTAAACGAGAGACTTCTTTTCAACCAACCAAACATGTTAGATCCGTACCAAAATTTTCAACTTCTGACAACCTAAAGTTTATTGGTTTAACGGATTTTTCGTTAGATCTGAAAATTCTTCAAACAAAAAAAGAAAGAACGCAACTTCTAACTTGTAACATACTCTTGAACGCACATAATGTGTATAACGGATAAACATTTATTTATGACGCTCATTCCGGCAGGTTAAGATCAACAACAACACACACAGAATTCACAACACAAAAATACATCAAAAACGGCAGCAATAAAAAAACGGGGCTTTAATTTAATTAAAGTGTGTAAATAATAACAGAACGCAGAAAAAAACGCTACATTTTATTCCATCGTCGTTGAGGCCGTCACGTTGGGAAACACCACGACGAATGAATTGGCATTAGCCGTAGCGAACTCATGCACGAGCAGCAGCAAGTGAGTCCGAGGGGAAATTTTCGAAATGGGGCGCTTGGTATGCAACAGCAAATAAACAAACTAGTAAACTTATGTTCGTAATTTGCCGGAACGAATTGATTTTAGAGTACGTATAAAGTGCACTTGATATAAACATACAAATTATGCTGAGCAAATATTGTTGTTGTGCGTTAATGATGTGATGCGTATAGTATGGCCACACTGAGTTAAGGGTTGAAAGACAATTTTTTCTTTCTGTCGCGTGACATGCGAATAGAGCATTGTCAAATTACCGATACCATCGATAAAAATGCAATTACATAATTTTTCGCTTCCCGTCTTCGAAAACCATTCGTCAGTACGGTGGAATCATTCGACGAAACACACATTATTATTCAAAGTTAGAGGTGAAGTAGAAAAGTAATAGCGGAATTCACCATATTATTGAAAAATTATCGAAATTATAGCGCCGTAATGGCAAATGATGACCTATGGATTCCGTATAATTGTGCCAGTTTCATAGAAATGAATGTGAATTAGTACCTTATGTCACATTTGTTTCGTTGATCGAATGCATGATTGATGGAACGAGTGCGTGAACCTTAACAGCTGAGGCACTGTCGTTGCATTTTTCTCTTCCATACAATTATTCATGAATCATAACACTTTTTTTCATTTTGTGAAATTTTGCTGGAACTTTTCATGACAATTAGCATTTTTGCGGCGTTTTTTCTGATTTCACTTATAACTTATATGACCTTTTGGCCCATCGATAAATGCGTTTTTAGTTTGTTTAGTTAAAATGCATTGGAAATTCCAATTTGAAACATTTTAATGCTGAAACGGACTTTCTTCAAATTGTAGTTTTGCAATTGCAGATTCTCGCTATTGGTCGCAATTGGTCGCTATGATGATTAACCAAAAAAAATTTGCTATTTTCCTTAGGTTACTTCATTACTAGTCTAGTTTGTTCTGGAAACTGTATTCATTACTTCAAACTGGAGGGAGAATTGACATCGATTGAGCATTAATTTGTGGATTTTGGTTGATGTTTCACGTAAACCAATTCGTTCATAATTTCGAAAGAGCACAAAAACATATGAATGATTCACCACTAGTTAATTTAACTACTTGAATGTGAAGCGATGTTGTTCAATAGCCAAGCGATTATGAATGATTGTCTAAAATTCATTTCGGTTAATTGATCGGCAATTAGATGAAAAATGCTGAACGATACATTTGCATAAATTATTACATTATTTTGAAAAAAAAATACAGAGAAAAATCCATCGCAATTCATTGCATCATTTATAAAATGTCGACCAAACAGAACAGAAAAAAAAGGTTAAAATCAGAGAGAACGGTTGTCACATTATTTTAATTTTCTCGCTTTCAAATTAGGCAATCAAAAATTCAATTGGAAATTTTTGACGTGGTATTTTGTAATTGTTTGTCGATCTATGAGTGTGTTTGGCTCCGCAACTAATTATATCTATTATATCAAAGTGAAATTTTAAACAGAAAAAAAGCAGTAAATGTGGCCGATATATCCGAAAATCGATGGTTTGATGTTTTGGTTGACATCGATACATGACAGTGGCAGCAGCGACACCGACTTTATGCAATCATTTTGATATTACATGTGAATGAAATCATAATAATAATAAATCATAAAATCCCCTGTGGTATCGATGACTTTGAAATGCATATGGATTTTCTTGTTCGATGGCTTTTTTTTTATATTCTCTCTATCATCTAACACCAAATTTTTCATGTCGTGTGTGTAAAATCGTTCGTTGTGGTGAATGCGGTACTTTGGTAACCCATTGCGTTTGCCATACGAACATCGTTCGTTGTCTTGTTGGGTTGTTGTTGATGTTTTTTTTTTCTTTCGTTTCTGTGTTGCTGCTCTTGTTGTTGTTCGCATGAAATATCACATGTGTTCCATTATGTGAATATAATATGGAGGGTGTCGGGTGCATTTGCCCCGTTATGTTTCACATAATATTATAATACTCGACAATCAACTCTCATGTACTTGTACACTGCGTATCCCTTCGTTCATTGTGCTACACACTCAACGCCCTCAAAATTATCATTGCATACAATAACAATGAAATTTCCTTGGAGCAATAAGGCGCTCGCAAGCCAAAAAATCACATGAGTTTATAACAATAAATTTTATTGTCGATTTAAGTATGTGTATGGTATTGTTTTCGATTGTTTTCCTACATTCTGATCAGATTCTTCTCTGCTTCCTCTTTTTTGGGATTTTATTTGGCAAATAAAATACAATTTATTTGATTAAACACATTGAAATTGGCAATTTTTGTTTTTGCTCCGTCGATATGACACAAACAATTTTCCATTGAAAATGCGATTCGTAAAGGGATTGGAAATTGTGCGTGAAAAATGGCCATGATTTTCGGTTGAAAAGTGAGCAAAAGTCATTCGATGCATTCATTTTGGTCAGTTGAATCGCGGCTAAATTTAACAGATGGTTCAAATAGATTATCGGTTTGTTTCGACTCTCTCTCTCTCTCTCTCTCTCTCTCTTTCGCCCTATTAAGTATGGGGTTAAGAGGAATACAGTGTAATAAAGAACAAATGGCCGTATCATTTGGCTGTTGATTATACACAACATTCATAGGTTATATATGCGTTAAATTTATCTATTTAATCCGTTATTGATGCCGAAAATCATAACATATTTTCCCCGTTCATCTTCAACGCTGTTATCGAATTATTAAATATTTACAAGCCGAATCTCACTCGTTTGAAGCACGCAAGGGGATGTTTTTTTTTTTGGTTTTAGTTTTATACTAGTTTATTGTCTGTGTCTCACTGGATTTTCGTTTCATTTGGGAACATATGGAGTTTCTTCGTTTTTTTCTTCTTTTGAAATTGCTATACAGTCAAGATGGTGAACAGCAAATGTTTGTTTTTCTTCAAAGGGCAGCCCAAGACTAATCCATTTAAAAATGGTACTTGATTTTTTCAAACATTTCTTTTTTTCTAGCCCGAGTGCCGAGTTTTTTTATTCGTCTGCCAAAATCCTATTTTTAATGCATTAACAAATTTTCAATTTACATTATAATCCAGCGCGAGAGAGTAGCTAATGTTTTTCGATTACTTGGCTGCCTTTAATGCCATCAGATATATAATTTCATTTTTGCCGAAGCTAATTCAGGGCGATTACATCATCAGCCAAAACGCAAAAAAGGGAAACGTTCGTTGCGCCCGAAACTGAGGGCGTGCATTCGACAAGTTTACTAGCCATTATTACCAGTTGACGCAAGCGACGGCCGCTAAAAAGCCGCTTTTATTCGCTATCAAAGCGATACGCTCGTTTAAAAATTGCCAGCCAGCTGAACCGAATTAGGGATTATTATTGGGAGAGATAATGTTCTTGTGTGTACTTTGCTGTCTTTTGCCACTGATTAACATGCATTAACATGTACTTATCGCTTTGTGACGCGAAACTATAACGGCAATTACAACAATGCTAACCGTATATCACTGCCGACTTGCCAGTAGCTCATGGAAAATGGCAAAATGAACGTAGTCCTATTTTTTTTACCGTTAATTAAAAACTAACGAAAGTGTTGAATTAAAAGGCGGTGGCTTCTCAAGACCACAGATTGTACAATTCCTTAAGACGTTACACAGAGACAAATTGTCTTGGATTGAAAATTACATGTCATTTTCTACGGCATCGAAAAGAAAATTGAAATAATTGCTGGTATTGTGGTACATGTTCCTTTGAATGAAGGCGAAAATTAAGAACGTTGGCCACTTTGTGCGTAGCATTGGCACTCTTCAATTCACCAATACTTTGAGACTCTTTGAAACACAAATTTACCACACCAAAGTCGTTTGTGTTTGTGTGTCGCGCTGGTATTTCGGCCGATGGTTGAAGTCCCTTTGTAATTTTTTCTCTACTTTATGTTGTTTGGCACAATTCTACTGGGATACATTTAGCTTAGTTAATACAATCTAACCATCCCCTGTGAGCTTTTGTTGTCCACCTTATGTGTACATATAATTTACGTCTTCTTTCAATTCAATGCTCTTTTTTCTCTTGCTGCCTCTCTCTTTCTTTCTCCATTTTTATTGCATACTCGAAATAACTGTTTGCCTCACTTGCAATTCCACTTGCCGGAGTGTCTGTGTGTATGCAGTTTGGCCGTGTGTAATAGCACCATTGCGAATCATACCGATGCGCTAGTGTTTTGAATCAAATTGATTGCATCGATAGACAAGGGACTCAACCGCATTTTTTTTGCCTTTTCAAAATGTTGTTACTTCCTTCAGCGAATGATAGAAGAAGGCTTCTTCGGTCACCAAAAGGATTGCTATTTTTGAATTGAACGAAATCGAGTCGACATTTTCTGACTTTTTTTTTCTTCGTCGATTCCTTGTAGAAAATGCCAGCGAATGAATTTTATAGGGGATTTTCGATTCTTAATTGCATTTTTACGTCGAACGAATTGGTTTTTTTTTTCTTCATTCCGCTGAATTTTCTTCATTTGAAATGGCCTTTGCTGTTCACGCTCTCAGAACGTATGCCGTTTTGTATCGTTGAAAGGGTCTCATTTTTCTTTGCTCGTTTTTCGAAACGCAACATTATTTATTAGCCCATCAATAAAGCACCCAACTCACTTTCAGTTTCCTTTATGCCAATTTTTGCACTTGATTGCTTTTCGTTGGACCAAAAGTTTCGTCTTTTTATTTTATTTCGAGGTCACAAAACTCCATTTCGCACTGGCGCCCCACGCAGGTGTGTGTGTGTGTTAGTGTGTGTACTCTGATTCGTGGTGTTAGCAACAGTGGCAGCGACGACGATGTTGTAACGTTAGATAACACGAGCTAATGTCCGACTGCCACTTTGATGAAAAAATACGATGGTACAGTGTGAAGTGAATCAATATTTATTACTGTTCGGCTCTTCGATACTCAACACTGTGCACTTCAGAACAAATGGTTTGGCAGCCCATTTTTGTTTTCGGGAAGAGAAGCAAAAACTTTTAGTCAGGTGCGTTCATTAGCACCGAAAATTGGGTGATTTATTCAACTTAGCCGTTTCTAACGCAGATATGTGGAACATTTTACGTCATATTTAATGGAAACAAAAGAAATGCCCAACACTACGAACATTTCGGTTCGTTCAACATCCATACTGGACAATTCAATTTGAATCCACACTCAATTCAAAGTTACACTTCTATTTTCATTTCCTTGGAAATTTCCTCTAAAGTTTTTTTTTTAATCGCACTTTGAAATTAATTTTCTCACAAATGTAATGATGAAAACTGTTCCAATTTAGTATTTTTCCTGTTGGTCCCAATTCGTTATATCAATGTCAACCTATTGGCAGGTGTCATAAAACGATGTTCTTTGATTATGTTTCAAGGGTTGCATTTACGAAATGTTAATTATATGGACGAGTTTTCAGTGGAAATGATAAAATTGTGTAGTAGATTTAACATGAAACGAAATGTATCAAATGGGCTATGTGTATGAGTTGGAAAATTACATTATGGATACAGTAAACTAATTTGCATACAAACTCACACACACATACGAATTTACATCAAAGAGCGGCTTGTGCGACTTACATGGCTTAATCGGTGAATAATTTTGTAATTTGACCCAAACGAGCGAGCCAAACGAAAAACCATCTCAATTTTCATTTCACAATATAAAACAATGACTTGCCCAATACGAAATAATTTTCTTGTCTTCTATTAAAAAATAAATAGTTTGTCTTTCTCTCTCCCAGTGTGTGTGTATCATCATTGCATGAATGGGAAATGTTATTTGTATCAATTTTCATTCGTTGAGCAATGAATGTGCGGAACGATGTTAACCGAATTATTCAATTAGATTGAATCGTCATTTTTCAAGCATTGCTCAAACATGCGACATTGAAGTGAATCCAATTGAATCACTTGCAGTTTGAGGCGAAGCGGTGAACAGAGCAGTGACAGAGCAGCAGCAGCAGTAGCATGTTCCCTACTATTTTTCCCATCCATTCAGTAATCGAGCGTCAACCCTTATGGCTATGTAGCGAAGCAATCAAATTAAGTGTCGCGTGGCATTTTTGATGTACACTCAATGGTGCGCTTCATTCAAACAGCAGAAAATTTTCATGTATGTACGAAAATTTTGAATTTTTTACATGCTTGAAATTAGAATACAGTTGATGTTATTGTTTTGAAATAGGGTTTTTTTCCAAGAACAAGTTGACAATGTTAACAATTTTTGGTCGGTTAGTTTTTCTCTTCTTTTTTTTTTTCTCTAAAATGTATGTTCCGCCTTGACAAGTGCCTCATTTATGTAAGCCGCAGTTTTGAGTAGATCGATTGATTTGCAATCAATTATCCGATATCCTTGGAATGAAGCCGAACAAAAAAATCGAGATTCCTTTTCGCAGTGTTGCTACTTTAATGGATTAAAACAATTACGCAATGATTGGGTCGCACTCGTCATCGATTGACGAGGTCTAAACGGTGGATTGCTTGAACCAGTCTTTGTCGAGTGGTTGGCCGCGTGCGACGCTGCACGTGCCAACAACAAGATCGTGATAGAGATAAACATTGTATACACTTCCCGCCTTTTCTACCAAGGAGAATAAAAACGTGTAAATTTTTATGTTTTATTTGCCATGTTTACTGCACGTGTACAACCATGAGAACTTAATCACAAAATTATCCCGACGAACAACAAACTGACAAGTTTTTTTTCTCATGTCAATCGCAATTCATATTAAAAGTGATGGAATGCTAATGAACCGTCGAAATTCGACAACAGTTTGAATGAGTTGAATATTCCAAATGATAAAATTCAATGGTTTTTTCGTGAGAGAACTATTTGATTCTTTTTGACCTCTAAACTTCAAGTTTCGTTTGAATGTTGAGAAAAAAAAACTTTATTTTTCTTTCCATTTTCCCTTGTTAAATATTTACAAAGATCGTTGCTGCAACAGACTCCTTTGCAGATAAAATGTGTCAAGATGTAACGAAATAGAAAAAAACAAAACAAAATCATACCTGTAACGGCCGTTGCGGAGGTCCACCCATGCTGTGATGATACATGACGTCGTGCTTTAATTGTGATGACATTTGCGCATGACTACTCTGGTGTTTACCTATATCTGCGAGTGCTTCGGCTCTGCTTAAAATTCCATCGTTTAATCCCGAGAAAATGTCGCCCTGCGAAAATAACGGAAACAAAACACACCAAAATCACAACAATTTGAATTATAGAATAGGGTTTATTGTTTAAATCGCAATCGGAAGAATTAAATAGTGAATATTTGATGGGCAACGACCAGTTGCTCGCAACCGCACACAGAAAGAGAATGAGAGAGACAGAGAGAGGGAGAGGGAGACAAACATACATAAATCAATGGCACCAGAAGCATATATCGCCAACTACTTCATTACAACGCCGGAGGAATGTGCTGTCGATTCGATCAAAGGGACGCAAAAATGCCAAATCATAAATTCATGTGCATGAAATATGACTCACGTATGGGGTGCATAGAGTCGATTATACACCATATTAATCTTTCTTTTGACTCAAGCCATGCCACACACACACACATACTCTTTCGTCAGGCTCAGTGAAATACACAAAAACGCACATGACAAATCGAATGAGATGCGGTTTTTCGGTGTAATGTGAAATATTTATGAGATGTCTGGCCAATTTTTTATTTAGCACATTGCAATGTGCACACCGAAAAAAGCGACTAGCCAAGAGAAAGATCAAATATGTTCGGAATGTGTGTGTGTGTGTGTGTATAATATGAGTATGTGCTTTCTTTTTTTTTGGCTCAGCATATTCATGTGCCGGAATTCAGACACGCAGACTGATTCGTTCTCATTCTGTCACCAGCACACACGATTTCATACATAATTTCGAACATCATTGTCACCGTTTGTGTTGAGCGTGAACGAGCGCGCGCGCGCACACATCCGCACGCCTGCTTACTCATTCACAATCATCAGGTCCTTTAGCTTGTATGTACTTGCATTCTATCGTTCATATGGCGCATTGAACGCCACCAGAACCGAAATTTTAAAAATTTAGATTATCATTTATTATTTATCGGGTGCTGAGAATTTTATTTTGTCAGAAGTTTATGTGCTCCTTTCTCTTTCCGTGTACTACTGCTGCTGCTGCTCTTTCACTCACTCGTTTGCTTTCTCGTTCGTTGGTTGTTTATAGGAAATGTTGTTTGTGCTGCGCTTTACTTGACACGGCACACACTCTCACACACACAGTGAAAATGTGCAGCTCTCGCAGATGAGCCTTGATTCCATTCGGCAGTACAGTGACACAACGCAAAGCGCTTAAAATACGTGAGTATTTTCGTATATGGGTCAAGGTAGAAAGTTTCAGCCACCATGCTCTCACTCAATTGCTCTTGTCGCTGTGTCAATGTGTGTATGTGCCGCGATTACACACAAAATATTTGTGTGCAATCATTAATTTTTCATCCATTTACATGATCATCAATTTTTAAGAGGCCGGCGTTTTTTTTCCGCTTTGTATGTGTACGCTCGTTCCATTTCGGTCGTTGATATCGAGCGGCATATTTTTTTTTGACATCACAATTGCTTTGAGTGTTGCAGTTGACATTTTTAATTTGGATTTTTTGTTTTCAAAAGCAAAATTGAAACGAAATTTTGAAGTATTCAAACCGATAGGAACCAAGTTTTCCCATTCAGAAGTGTTAAAACTAGTTGCGGGATGTTTTGAAAAGCATGAAACAAAAAACCACAACCATCATTTCGAGCGCGGTCGTAGGGTAAAAACTATTATTAAAACTAGATTTTTTCCTGTATGTCGGACATCCGACGGAAATTCGTCTTTTCCGAAACCCATTCATTACTGCAAAATTACACACAAAGCTAATATTAGCCCACCATATGTTGAATGGTTTTCATGCATTCGCGGTGCGACCGTGTACGTGTACCTGCAACAATAACTCTGATTTGTTGGTCGATTGTCGACAATAGGCACTCGTTGTCCTTTTGTGTATTCCATTCTGGCGACTAGTACAAAATGTACTAAATAAAAACACGTGACCGGAAATCGTTAATGTATTTTTGTTGATTGCGGTTAGCACATATATTGCGGTGGATAGACGACGGCAACAACAACAACGACAACGAAAAATAATAAACACTTGATGTGTATCCCGTTCGAGTGATACGCACATTTTCCCGAGTTTTAGTTAATGTGCACCACTTTCATGACATGTTCCCGCATATAACCGAAGTGCCCATTATAACCCTCAAAATACTACGCTTTATTTCACGTTTTTTTTTCTCTTTCTTTCATTGTTGTTGTTTTGTTTCAGTTGTATTTATCATTACTTGATTGTCAGTCATTAGAATAGCAAGGCTTTGAAAATGGAATTGAATCACTTTGTGAATTGGATTGAGTCGTTTTGGAATACTTCTATTTTTTTACGCTCAATCTATCGATGCATTAGTAGTTTGACAATTATTGCGCCTAATGAAAACGTAAAAGTTGAAAATCAAGTGAATTTCTCTACTTTTTGTATCGCATCAACAGATACTTGAAAAGGATCGATAAAAATTGTATTGTCAATCAATTATGGCCACAAGTGCATTTTCCAATTGGAAATTATATCATTGGATAATTATATGCTTTGTATTCAATCGACCATGTCAGACGTTAACAATTTTCTTGCCACAAAAACACTCATTTGAATGCATTGGTGAGGATTCGTTTGAAAGTTCAAATGAAATGTGCATGTTTTCCTATTCAAAAATAGAAACGAAAAATGTTGTTGAAGTGAAATGATTTGAAAAGAAAATTATTTTGAGATTAAAAAACACATTATAAAAGATGTTCTATTTTGGATATCATACACGCATAGGTTGCTCTTTATCGATATAATTATTATCGTCTTGTTTTTATCAATTGTCTGTGTTGTATTCGGTAATTAAAATGTTCTTTTATGTAAATAAAAGTGGTCGACTTAAATCGGAAAGCATGCATGTAATGTCGGTTGCATGTCGCTTCTCCAATCACAAAAGCAAGTGGAATTCACAGACAAAGCGGGTGGTGTTTCACCGTAGGGAAAATCAATCGAAGTGAAAATATCGATTGAAATAATATTTATTGGGCTTATTTCATGGAGAGACGATTTACGGCTCTCTGATTGGCATGGGGTAATCGAAGACGTACGATTGAGTTTCGATATTGGTCGAAAAACATCATCCGCATCACTTTCGATCCACTTCAAGTGGAAATAAATCTAAATAATAATAAAAATACGGCTAATTGATTTATTACACTGCCTGAATGGGGAGCCGTAGCAAAATATATCGCTAATTGATTTAGATAAATGCGTTATATCGCTAATAAATTGCTAGGGATTTTTTTCTTCTTCTGGTTCGAAACATAAGACAATGTCGGCCAAAAACATGATCGAAAATGCATCGGTATAAATCAATTGTTTTATATGTTAAAATGGTAGTTGGTTAGTGTTTTGTATTTACTCACATTTCGTGATGACCATGTGTTGCACATGATCGATGCATCTTCTAAAAGACGATTCTGAAAAAAATTACAATAGAGAAAAAAAGAGAAGAAAATGTTTTAGTTATGCATGTGAGCTAAAACACATTCAATAAAAGTTTGTTGTTGTTGTTAGGAAATTAGTCATCAAACGATATGTTTTTTCATTAGATTGAACTATTTGGCGGTCAATTTAATTAAAACATCGTTTGTAAGAAGAAGTTATCGAAGGAAATGTGCGTAAATATTGGAAATAAACAAAGTAAAGAGTTTTTGTTGTGGCTGTTTTTTTTCTGTGTCGATTGATTGGAAATGGAGTTTTGACGACGTTAAAATGAATTCATAATGATCGAATGGGTTTGGGATTTGGGCGGCAATTTATTATCCATTATGCGTTTTCAACGAAGAAAAGAATGCACAAATGAACTCGTTCTAGTAACTTTGAGTCAAAAACGTTTACTTAGCCGTCATCACACTGTCGGCTGGCCTCGACTTATTGGCAGAAGGTGTTCGAGTCACGAATATAGTCGTTAGCGTTTACCATAATCTTGTTTAAATGTTCAATTAAGGCATATTTAATGATATTGAAAGATCGATTTAACGTTTGTCGACACGAAAACTCAAAAACTGCACTCCGACATCGAACATACACACACACACACACACAGATAAAACATATCATTCGTTAACTAGACTGAGTGAACAATGATCCATACGCTGGCCCATCACACAAAAGAAAGCTTTGATCAACTCGTTTTCCTTGAGTCTCGTTCTAATGAGAATGACACAGCGAGTTAAATTGGGAAAAAAGAAGGAGAGAGAGAAAGAGAACGGAAAAGCCTCGAAAACCCGAATATGTGTGTGCTTTTGTGTGCTTGCGTATTGAAATGTCTATGACGACATATTTTGCCGGTCAAATAATCAATTATACAACTGTTTAACACAATTTATTAAATATTTAATGAATTGTTTACGGTCATATTTACGGTTTTCTTTTTTGTCGTCATCCTTCTAGCCAACATGGCTTGGTGGTGTCATGAATGGACATTCGACACACAGGTTTTTACGTTTTTTCGTTTTAATTTCAGTTTTATTTTATTTGCTTTGGTCATTTCTCTCTTTCTCTCCGTTTCGTTAGTATTTTCATCCAGAATAGAGCGAGTATGTGTTGAATGAATGAAAGTTTTAGCTTTTCCGAATGCATACAGCGGCCAATACACTCACCAATCGTTTGTATCATTCAAAAACTTGTGGATTTTACACGCAAAATTGGATTTATGCTTTGAATAATATTGACTTGAATATCCAGGTTTCTATTTTTGTTGCAGCTACTGTTGGAAAAAAAAAACAGTTCAACGCTATCACTGTGCTCCAGTTCTGGTTGGCATTTTAAATGCATTTATGACAATTTTTGATGAAATAGACATTTAATCGAAACGCAAAATGAAAAACCATGGCTCAAGTGTGCCGAGGAAAATCCATATCCGCAATGCATTGGAATATCATACACAAACGAAATCGTAGACAACAACCACGATGACGACGACGACGATGATAGAGCAACCGTACAGACACATACATCAGGGAATCTCAGTGGCGTACAGCATATAGTATAGTAACAATACAGTACACGGTTAGAAATGGCGACATCGATCGATATCCGTGTTGCTTTATGATTGGTTGTTGGGCGGAGAAGCTGAAACACCAACATAAGAGCTCGGTTCGTTCGTTTGCTCCGCGCGCGCCTCTCTCTCTCTCTCTCTCTCTCGCCTATCCATCTCATACACACAAATGCGCTCTCTACACACCGTATGCACGAAATATCGACATCAGTACACAAATTTATACATGAAGCTCGTATTTTATGTATTGTAAACGGGGGGATATATATACCGTATACACACAGTCCAAACAGACGGTGTTGCTGTAACAGTGGCAAGGAGCAAAGGAGCTGAGAGCCAAAGCAGCCAAATGATGTTTGTTGTGCCATTTTTCTCTCTTTCTCTTCTTCTTCTCTCTGTGTGTGTGTCTGTGCATGGTGCTCCTTGTGTTCTTGTTCGTCGTCGGCTTCTTCTTCTTGTGACCATGTATTGCTCTCTTCTTGTGTGCGCTTATTTATTCTGCGTGCGTTCGTTAGACCACATTTAATGTCTATCGTATCCATTTTAAATTTTATCGATTCGATGTTCGTACGGAACTCCTCTCCATATACAATGCATAAAAATGATTGTACACAGACAACAGCGAAAAGAGAGAGAGAGAGAGAGAGAGAGAGAGAGAGAAAACAGTTTTTGGTAAACAAAATTAAAAGGTTTTCCTTTTATTTTTCTGCTACTATTTTCGGTAATGTTTTCGTGGTTACTATTACTTACATTCGTGTATTTAATTATGATGTAACCAGCAATTTCGGAATTTCTCCAAACGAAGCAAACAATCGAAGAGAGAAAATAAAATCCAACCACTTTTTAATAAAAGTCGAAATGAACCACAATTGCATTTCAAGACATGGTTGCACAAATCGTTTCACTCCGTTTCAAACGGACAACAGCCGAACAATCTTTGATACGTATAACCAATCGATATAGCGATAGAAAAGACAATGGAACAACCGAACGGACGAAAACGTCAAGCCAGACACATATCGGCTTGCAAATTGAATTTAGTGAACGCACGTTATGCAACATGCAAAGTGATTACTGCGGAAATGTGCAATGCACTTGTTTCATTCGCTGTCGACCGTATGTATGCATGCAATCGCATCAATTTTCGACATGGACCGAAATAGATTTATTTTATTGTGCCATTCACATTCACAGCAAAATTATTTATTGTGTTGGCGGCGGCTTTAATTTTGAATGATGTTTCATTTGTGCATTGATGATTGTGCAGAGAGAGAGAGAGAGAGAGAGAGAGAGAGAGAGAGAGGCCGACAGAGGCTTGTATTGTTCAATGGTGCAGTTTGAGAGCAGCTTTTCTGGTTTGGCATGCAATCAACCGAATGAAATTTCCTAAACGGCCATTCGCTAGACGGAATAAATGTTCGATTTAATGTCGTTTCGGTTGCATTTATTACATTTGCAATCAATTGCCTGAGCCCAGAATATTGCCAATATTCTGAGGTTGGCATAATCAAATCGCATTCAGATGACGTTTAATTAGATAAAATTATTTATTACTTGGTCGAGCTCGTTCGATATTCTTGATGTGCAGTCGTATACCTGTGTGTGTGTGTGCATGACGCTGCCCTTATGGATTTTGGATCAAGAACATAAATCCTATTTTAAAATATTCCTTTTAAAGGACTTAATAACTCTTTGCCGTAGTCAAACAAACTCGTGCCGTTACATGGATCGTGCATTTGCCCAAGTGCAATTGACAAAAGAAAAAACGAAATGTAAACACACAATGTGTCTCTCCCTTTGACATATGCATGTTAAAATCCATAGCTGCACTTTGGCTCGGTTGTTCAATTTAAAAAAAAAAAACTCGTCGAACGAAACATTCGAAATTGAACGATTCGCTGGAAATACTTAAAACTTAAAGGGTCGACGATTTTGATGAATGGAAACAATATCGGTCGACAATCACATTTCAAGTGGATTCATTGTGCGCGTTGAAACACTGTATGTATTTATTTAGTCATTATAAATCGATTGAAAGGAGGACGAAAAAAGCCTATATTGTTCTTCGTTTTTTTTTATTCTCGACAAGACTGTTTTTCAATTAACACATTTCTTGAAATGTTATGTTGTATTTCGGCTCGTCCTCGACATACAAGAAGAAGCAATTAACGTAAACCCGAAATTGTGTTCGATTCAAATCATGCTCATGTCGTGTTAAGAAAAGGCTGTATTTCCTAGTGTGTATGTGTTTGGCCAGAAGAGAAAAGAGTCACCGAACTTTTCATAAATATTGAATTGTGTGTAATCAAAGAAAAATATTCTGCCACCTTGTTGCGGTGATTTATCACTAAAGAATTCATGCGATTTAATATCATGGTGAGTCGATGATTTTTTTATGACATTTATCATGTTTACATGATTAAAATGAGCCCTTGATCATCGTTTGTTTTTTTCTTTTTTATCCGCTGATATTTTGTGAAGCGACGCAACAACAACAACAACAACAACAATGAGAGAGGGAAAGAAAAACGCAAGCCTCAGAATGTCCGAAGCGACAGAGAAGAACATTGTAAATCAAATCAGTGTTTAAAAATACATGGACGATGTGAATGATTTAAATGTACGTTTTGTGATCACGCAATTCGTATGCAATGAACGTGGTGTGTGTGTGTGTGTGTGTATTCATCATGAGGAAAACGCAAATAGAATGAACTATCATGAAGTTAAATAAGTTTCGGATTTAAAATAAACCCTCGTTCAGAACAGAGAAAAAAGCAGCATTTGAGCAATGAAATGGAAAAAAAGCAGTCAGCCAGTGATTTTGTCACCACCAACACACACACACACACACACACACAGCATACAGTATGTAAATTCAATTTCTTGCAAAGTGTTTATTTATAAATTTATTATTACTTTAGGTTTTACACATCTTTCGGACTCCGTCCGGTTTTTATGTTCGACAGTGCTCAATTTTTTTTCTCCCTCGCTCAAATTGTTGAGTCCCTGCGCTCTTGCCAGTCACTGTGCTCGCTGATTTTTTTTCTCTCGCTTCTTTCTTAGTCGATTTCAACTGTGACTGAGTTGCCGTTATGCACTGTTATTTCGTCGTGTTCCGGCCACAAAATGTGGATAAAATACCGATCGCATGTTTGAGCGCACTGAAACCAGAATGTACACCACTGAAAAGTGTCTTTGTGTTTGTATGCGACGGAGCGAGAGGAAAACAGACAGGCCGACAGAGACACAACGAGTTGATGCGTTTTTGTAGTGTTTTGCCATGTGGATTCACGTGGGTCATATGCCGCATTTCACACATTCATAAATAATAAATTTATGAATTCAAAACTAAAATATAAATTTTGATGCCGAACGCGCAATGTGTGTAACGTCTATACAAATATCACATATCAACCC